CATGATCGTCATTAATTATTTAAACCTGTGAGCCAGGTTTTGTTTTGATTATCACAGAAACTAGATTTATTATATCGGAGTGGTTTTTTTTCGATTGAATATTTTTTGCTGTATTTTCTGACAGAATTTTCATATGGCTCTCTTTTTAACTTAAAATTTAAGGATTTATATTTTTCTTTCTACTATTATTCCGTATTTTATATTCCGGAGGTTCACTAAGTATGCGTGGGTGTCTAAAAGTTCTCTTGACGTATGTTATTTCGTAGATCTCCCACTCGCATTAAAATCGTTCACAGCTTTTCTATTGTACACAAAAGGAAATAAGGAAGGAAACCTTCGTTTGTCATTACAAATTAAATTAAGAACGACATTGTTTTGATATTGCCAATGCTCTTCGCTGAAAATGAGAGTGAAAATTAAGGGGTTATCATTAAGAATCATTATTGCTGTATTATCGAACCTGTATCGAGGCTCAATATTCGAAGTCGGAAGTTCTTTAACTTTTTTTTTTTTTTTTTCGCTAAAGAGTTTTCTACTTTAAAGGTTAGCTGATGCTTTTAAAACCACAGCAAAATATTTTTACCATGGATGTTTTCTAAGAATTATTTTCCTTACACAACAGCTGCAGGCCCTTGTACTGTTAACATAAATACACTGATAGAAAAAGAATTGAAATTAAAAGGCTCATTGCTGTCAGAAATGCCATAGTTTTACAAGATTCTACTGTTTTGTGATGGGTAAAACAACACAGCGTTAAATAAAGCACTCATTGTCTTAGAGTGAATGAAATTCAGCCAACACATTTCTTAACTTTTGACTGCTGAGCCTAAATGAAGCCATCACAAATTGGTAGTGATAATAAAGTTTACTGATCTGACAGCATGACAGCTTGAAACACAAATTGAACACTTCCCTTTCCACACAGCTGTGTCTATCTATTTAATGCTTGTGGGAAAACTACGTTTTGTTTTTTCTTCAAGCCTCCTTTTTTATTTTGATACTTTCCTTACTGTTTCAACCAGCAGAAGATAATATAAATTAAGAGTGACTAATCAATTGGAAATTGAGGACTGTCCAGAGTGAGAAGGTTGTAAGTGAGACTGTCTTCAGGTTTTAACCCTCTAAGCCCTAAGGGTGATAAGCATTTAATTTCTCTTTGCAATATCACTACTAAGTCAGAAGTTAGGGTCATGAGAATAAAGGAAATGATCACCAACTTAAGGGGCTCTTGATTGTTGAACAAATTCTCCTTGTCCATGCCTTAGGAAATGTATAGAGAACAGTATGGAGAATATGCATACTGATGTTAGGGTGTAAATGGTTTTTGTAGTTGGCTGCCACTATAAAGCAAGTGTCTGACAGTGCAAACACTTCCCTGTTTTTACTATGAAGAAATCCTCAAATACCCCGTCACTATAATAGGAATACCTGAAAATGTTTATTATTTCTCTCCAGGGAAAGGAAGTATATTTGTTTGGGCTACTGGTAATGGAGGTCTTGCTGATGATGATTGTAATGCAGATGGCTACACATCTAGTATCTATACGATATCTATTGGAGCCGTCAGTCGATATGGCCTCTCCACTTACTACGATGAACAGTGTTCATCTACAATGGCAGTAACCTACACAGGAGACACTCACCGGGGTGGCTCCAGTGAAGCTGACTTAGTCACCACTGATCTTAAGCACAAGTGCACCACAAGGTTCCGTGGCACTTCTTCAGCTGCTCCACTGGCTTCAGGTATCTTTGCTTTGGTTCTGGAAGCAAACCAAAATCTGACCTGGCGTGATCTTCAACACATTGTTGTGAAAACAGCATTGAAGACCAGTCCAAAAGATGAAGGATGGGTTGAGAATGCAGCAGGTTTGTTGGTGAATCACAAGTTTGGATTTGGTCGTCTTAATGCTGCCAAAATGGTGAGTGAAGCAGTGAATTGGATGCCAGTTGGGGAACAGCAGAATTGTTCAGTAAATGGCCCTATAAAGGATCCGTATATTCCAATTCGAGGTACTCTGGAGTTGAGCCTCAACACAGATGCATGTGACATCCAGAAACTAGAGCACGTACAGGTCACTGTCAGCTTCAGATTATCCAAGGCATTCCGTGGTGATATCAGCATTGATCTCACCTCCCCAGGGAAAATGACAAGTCAGTTACTTTCTGTTCGCCGCAATGACAAGGACACATTTGGACTGAATGACTGGGCTTTCATGACTGTGCACTTCTGGGACGAGTCCCCTAAAGGAACATGGATCCTAAGATTCCACCACGACAAGAAGTCTTCAAGTGCACCATCAAAACCAGATGTTGAGGAAAGGGAGAAGGTTCTTATACAACATGACCTGTTGAAAGCACGCCGGGATGAGATCATGGATGACTACGACAGCTATCATGACGAGATACATCATGGCCGGTTTGGAAAAGATTACATGCGTGATCAAGTGTTCCCAGTCGCTGAAGATGAGGGTGATCTAGATAGTTTATTGCAACAGGAGGATGAAGGCTCTGATTCAGCCGAAGGATATGCAGGCACAGTGTCAAAATGGGTGTTAACACTCTATGGAACCAGTGATTAATGTTACACAAAGAAAATTTTTTCCTACTCAAAAAAGTTTATTTTATCAAGTGACTGAGTATATTGCAACTATTACTAATAGTCTTTCTTGGTTCAAATTAGGTGTTTTTGGGGTGTGGTTAATTTATTTCTTACAAGGTATTAGTTTGTGTAAAGTTGGGGATTGTTTTAGTGGTTTATAGAGACTCTAATTTTTTGGAAAAACAAAGTTCATTTTATTATTTATATAAAAAAAATTTATTTTGATACCATATAATGACTTAAATGGTTGATTTGAATTTTTCAGTTGGTTTGCCTCCAGCTTAATTGTGGCAGAGCACATCTCATGAATTTGTACAACAAATATGTTGGAGTCAATATATTATCAAAACATTTAATTATGTTAATTAAAATTGTCAGAGATTCCTCTGCAATTATTTGTTTGTTCCAGGGTCTGTGATCCTGGAGAAAAAATTGAGAAGAGAAATACTCACTCTGCAGTTTGTAAATAAATTTGCTGTACTAAGGAATATAATTTAACACAAAATTACTAACTTATAAGTAAATGCTTAATGTTATTCTCATTAACATATTAACTAACTGCCTTGTAAATAAACCTCTTAAGTATGTTATCAGGTTTAAGGTAATTAGTGGTAATTATTTTATTTCTGTTGTTATTATTTGCAATTTAGTGTAGACCTGATGCAGGCTTTCTCTGAAATGCTGTGGCCCAATTGGTGAAGCTGTGATCCCATTCCAGCCTGCTTTGCCACCTTGCTGGTCTCTAGCCACTTTACCAGTAGTGCTGCAGTGTAAATGCAAGCTTACTTGCTTGCTTAATATAGTAGACTTCAAAGTGCAGATATTTTTATGAGCTAATTCTAATAATCACATCACAGAAACATAATCATTCTAAACAACACTAACAAGGAAAATAATCAGCTTACAACATAACATTGAAAGTGTACTCCTTTAACAATGCTAAGTGTATGATTCAAACAAGGAAAAACAAATTTATGTTTAAAATTCATTGAAATGGCATCCTATTTTGAGGAGGAATGAAAGACTGAGGTTTAGTTCTGCATCCTCTGCTAAGTGGTGCATTAAATTGACAGAAGACCGGATATGGCTACGAATGTTTTCCCAGACGCTTGAGTGGGTAACAAAATAACACATTTCTAATTTAATTTGGCATTCAAATTGTCACAATCTAAGGCATTCTTGAAAAAAGCCCTAAGTGACCTCTCACACACCTCTAGATTCTCCTTTCAACTTTTCCTATGTTCCCCATGTGAAACATAGGGAGAAGTTCATGTTTCATCAAGGGTTACTCAGGGCTTTATTCCAGATGCCCTTATGTTTATCGTAATGGGTGGTAAAGGGCTAAAATAGAAAATAAAAGTAGTAAATAATAGCATTCCAGCACCAGATGAAACTTTTATTTTGTGACATTCTTCAATATGCTACTATGTTGAATCCTTCTAAAGGTATTAACATGATGTAATGTACCCAGTTATGAAATAGTAGCAATAAAATGAAATCACATCACTGCATTCCTGTGCTGCAGTTTCATATTAGTGTAAACCTGGTAGGATAGTGATTCTATGGTTTCTTTGAAGTACAGTCAAACAGTCTCTGCAAAAACCAGTCTGTAATGTTGTGGGGTAAAGAGCAGTGATAATACATTTACTTTAACATCGCAACACCTACTGTGCCACAATGGCCAGGCTACTAAAGTGTGTCCTAAATACACCATACTCTCCATACAGTTCTCTTTACATTTCCTAAGGTGTTGAAAATGAGAATTTGTGTAACAATCAAGGACCTTCTTTAGTTGGTGATTATTTCCTTCTTTCACTAGACCTTAACCCTTTAACTCCCAAGATCTCATTAGTAATTCTCCTTACTGTCTGCCATACAGTTCTTGTGATGTTTGTTTGGAGAATTTGGTATTGGATCAACTTATATTCCCTTAATTTATATTTTTCTTTATTCTCATCACTTGTCTGCTAGATATTGTATTGATATCATGAGGAGAAATTCGGTCTTGGTCACTTGTGGGAGTTAAAGGATTGAGGTTTCAATCAGGGATGATATTGTAAGGAGAAAGTAGATGTGAGTCACTCTTTGGGGTTAAAAGGGTTTGAATGGCCTCCTGACATCAGCCAAGTTTCATGCAATGTGGAACTGTTTATCTCTTTGATATCATTAATCTTAAATTCCCTTGGTTACCTTTGAGGCATTTCAGTTACTGTAACCAAAAAAGAGAATAAACTTTCGGAATCCCTGGGCATTTTTTGTCTAGGACTTTCTCTATTGACATCTCTGTAACCTGAACTCATGTAACCTACACCAAATGTAAGAACAGTTTTTGAAACCAAGCTAATTTTTTTTTCCTTGATTGAGGAAAACTACACAAAGTTAAACTTAAAGACAATAAGTTTTATTACCATTAATTGCGACAATTCCCCATTATTATTTCCATTTTTGAGAGAAATAAAAGTTCTAAATCAACTTTGAAAGAAGTGAAAATTCTAAATTAACTTTGAAAGAAGTGCTAAATCACCTCTTACATTTACAAATATGAGCTGTCAAATATGTACTAGAATTTTGCCTAATTTGACAACATTTTGTTCTTCGCAGAAGAAAGAAGCTCATGATTTTGATTACAACTTTCACATGGCAAATGAGACAATTAAAATATTTCAGCTAACATAAACTAAACAAGTTAAAACAACTGCAATTTTGTAAGAATGATCGTTGTAGTTGTTTTTGGATTGTAACTTATTAAGCAACTTTTTTTAATTTATCTTGGCATACTACACATGAATTTCCATATCAATTATCAAATAGTATAATATTGTAGATCAGAATACCTAAACTTGTTAGTGAAGTGTTACTACAGAATGTTGTTTACTAATCTATCAAAATTGTTGCACTTTTTAGAATAATTCCTGAAATAAGTTACATGCCATTCTTACTAAGTTTCACATTAGCTAAAAATTAACTTTATGTGAGATTAATACTTCTTTAAATATCAACATTTATCTTAAACATAAATAAAAAAGCTGTACTTTCAGCATCTTAAGACATTTATAACAAACACAAAAACAATTTGTTGGCTAGCAATCAGGTCTTGAAGGTACTCAGGCAGGCTGTTACCTCAAAAGAGTGAGTGAAAAAAAAACTAACTAAAAATTAAAACAAACTATTTCAAAAAAGTGATTTTGGTAAAGCATGAAGAGGTATGAATTCTGCAAGTTGTTCTTCATTCTTGATAAAAACAATCTTGTTTGATGTCACCTCATGTAACCTAATGAAGTGAATATAGAAGCAAATATCAGTAATGAATAATTATATTCAAAACAGACACCTGTCCAGGTTTTTTTCAATCTTGGATCTTCCGGGGCAAGCCCCTCCTCAAGTGTTACAGTTGGTTCTAAATTTCAATGAAACTAACCACAGTCTGATAAGTGCCCAACATCCAGTGAAAATAAATGGTGAATTTACAATCAAGCACTTTCCAAGTCTTTCAGGATATCGTCTGGACAGAAGCCAAATGAGCTGCTTTACAAATCCATAGTCCATGTTGCTAAATGCGAAACCCTATGGATCAAACAAAGCAGCATTCACTTTACTTAAAATGTGATAAGGACTTATGACTATGGTAAAGCAGACATGGTTAGATGCTACTCATGCTTTACAGATTTAATGAATGTAACCAAAGAAGTTACAATTTCAACACTCCTGTCCTGGGTCTAGGAGTGTTGAAATGTTGGGTCTATGAATTGTAGCTTCTTCGGTTACATTCATTAAATCTGTAAACCAGAGTAGCATCAAAACATGTCTGATCCTACTTCCTGAATTTTAAAGTCAAACAGAGTCAGTGATATTAAATAAAACTAATAATTCAGTTTAATTTAAAAAGTAGCTGGCTTATTAGTAACCTACATGTAACTAACCAAATAATTCTGTCTACTGCTGGTTTTAAATGATAACATGATCAACTTACCTTTAAATCAAAGGTGATGCAAAGGTTGTCAATCACATCTTCGTCACATCTTCTTGTTGCCTCCTCCTTTAGACATAAGGAAACAATTCAGTCAAGTTATCTGTACTGAATGCTTTTTACTTGTTCAGTCACATATCTCAACCCCTGAACCCCAAAGAGTGACTAACATCTAACTTCTCTTTACAATACCAACCCTGAATCAAACATCAAGGTCATGAGAATAAGGAGAATGATCACCAATTAAAGAGACTCTTGGTTGTTCTTATAAACAAATTCTCTTTGTCAACACCTAGGGAAATGTATAGAGAACAGTGTGGAGAATATACATACTGATGTTGAGGTGTAAAGAGTTAAAATTGTATTGATTACCCTGCTTATGGTGAACAACCACAACCATTGTCATGAGCAAGTTGTGGCCAGTTGCCTGATAACTAGGATCACATACCAAAATGTAAATAATGAACTTGGTGATGACATTTAAATCTCTGGTTCTTGCATCATGATTCCTTACTGTCACAAGAATGATAGGCCTACAGATATCAAAATATGTTGGCTGAATTCAATGATCAAACAATGGTTATGTAAAATAAACACCTTACTCTAAAACTTAACGTTGATCACAGCATAGCTATTTGCAGAAAGGTAAAAAAACTCATCTAATGTTAAAGTGGGTTATAACTGACTCTTGGCGAGTCTATAGAGGGGGAGGGTTGAGGGGGTTCTTTGGTATGATAAAGGGGGAGGGGTGGATGCCAGGGACAAGGAAGAGGGGAAATGGTGGAAGGTTGTTTGAGGGGATGATGTCTGTTTCAGGAAATAAACATAAATAGCACAAAAAAGAAGCAGTAAAACTAACCTTAAATAAATATACAACTCCTGACAAATAAAAGTATTGGAGCTCACCTTCCTCTGTGATCTGGAAATTCTAACACTTCAGCCTTATCCAAAGCAATTTGTTCTTCAATATCATCATCCCCTCTGCTCAAACAGTTGACTCCATATTCTTCTCTCCAGTTTATGTACTTAATCAAGGCAGTGTATGCTTCATCTACATCATCAAATCCCCGCAGAAAACGTCTCAGGCAAGAATCTGTCTGAGCCTGAAATAGAATTCACATAAAAAGGTGTTCATTGAATGACAAGGTTTTCACTAGAAAACATAATAGATACATGATCTGAACTGAGGAGGGGAATTAATTAAATTACCACCCTTCTAGAGCACTTCAGAAACAGTCCCCCAAAGACCTGAAAAATTTGAACATTTAAAAATTTTGAGAAGTGATTTCTAGAATTTTGCAACATATTTGAGAACCTTCTTTAACCTTAAAATGGACATTTGGATCAGTTCATAGAAAATCAAATTCCAATTTGCCAAGCACCAGCTTCAAATAACAACCAAGGGTAAGAGGGCTGTCCTGACAGGGGATGCAGGCCACTAAATTAATTTATCTATTATTCATTTATTTATTAATTGCTTAATAGTCATCTTCATGTTAACTAGAAGCATAAATTATGCCATATATAAATTCCAACCTATTTTTAGAAATGATGTACTTCTAGAAAGCACTCCAGAAAAAAGGAAAATTTTGTGTCAATCTCAGAATGTAAGTATAGTTGAGTAATATTATGACTTTTCCAACAGTTTCTACACGCAGTCAGAATCAGAAAAAACTTTGTTGCTGTTTCATTATTTTTTCCATTTTATGTTAGGAAAATAATTAACAATATTTTCTCTGCAATTTTGACTTTAAAAAATGAAAGAAGGAAAGACGTTTTTAAAGTAACACCAAACAACACAACAAATTACTTAAGACGTATCCACAACTTGCGTATGTTTGCTTTAGTACATATTCTAAACAATTTTTTATTTACTTGTAAAAACCATTCTCTAATTTTCAAAATACAAAGAAATTGGATTTTCATCGCTAAATACAAACCTTTCTTAGTTTGACAGATGCAAATTACTTTAATTACAGAAGGAAAGTATACGTAGCCTCCTCAAAAGAAGAGGCGCCACAGAATTTCGCACCAAACATTAAGCTGATCGAAAAAAAATACATACCTTAAGTGGTTCTGCATCAAAGAGTGGCTGAAATTAAAAAAAAATAAGTTGCAAAATATATTAAACTAAATAACACTTCATGTGAAATCTCGATTTCGTTTCTAGGCTTTCGAAAAAATCCCAAAAAAATTTGACAAGGTAATTCATTTCGTGAAATTAATAACCGGCTAAGATACTGAAACTCACGGGTTTTGCTCAAGTCAGACTGTGTTCTATAACAGTCACGTAGTAGGAAAACGCGACAGAAATTAATGTCTGATTCTAAAACTGAAATAAATGGAAAATACATTTGGCGGGATCTTAATTGCTAAATTTACCTGAAGGCGATTTTTCAATTCTTCGAAGTTTTCTTCGAATGACGTACCGGCGATCTCTATAGACATATTTCGCTCAACCTTGCCATTTTTCGAGTCCGATTTCAGCATTTACGAAAAACCAATGTACGAAACTAAGGTGTCTGTATCCAGATAATCAATAATTTATCCGGAAGCCTCAACGGAAAAACCTGTGCGTTGTTGATTCACCCGGATGGCAAACATAAGGACCACAGATAAACACAACTTGTGCGGCTTGGAAATTTGCCGCGAACAATAGCATAAAAGGTAGAATCTGATTGGCTGACGAAACAGAGAGGAATCAGACAACAACTTTTCTTACATGAAGCCCCACGTGAGTTAGAATCAAAGATGGCGGCTGCTACGTTGGAATACGAAGCGATCGATGCTTCTTCGAATGTGCAGCCCCTTGTTGGTACGTCTTTTCAAAGATTGCTTTACTTTAGCATTATTTAGGTGCTGAATTCCTAAAATATTATAAACGATATTAGCCAGCCGTTTTTATCGCAATCATGGTTGTGTCTTGTGTCTTCAAGCGCCTTAACAAACTTGTCGCAAACTTTTCAAGCTGAAACTTTATTGTGTTGATATTTCAAGGATTTGTACGGTTCTTTATGATTTTGGTGGTACAGCGAGTCCCTATGTCCTCCCTATGCCCTTGAAACTACAGCCATGTTGAATATACAAAACTCATTTCAATGTTTCTTCCTTTAGTCAATTTCACGAATGGAAACTTAAAGCAAAACAGTGCGAGTAAAAGGATACGATTTGGTTGTTATCATTGGGCGGATAGAGGAGATAAAAGAAAAAGACAGAGGAAAACTGTGGTATGCCATCAAAATATGAGAAAATATTTTGTATTTATGTAAAAGGCATTCTCAGCTCTGGTTAAAATTTTCCTTAAAAAGGATAGTACCCTAATTTCTTGGCCTCCATCCCAGAGCCCCTTGTGTTCTTACACTGTTGGTCGCGTTTCTTGAAAGGGAATCAAATTGACCTTAACCCTTTGACCCCCAGGTGTGACCAGCATTTAATTTGTCCTCAAAATATCACCCCTGACATTATGGTCACATTAATATCAATGTCATACTGATGAAGGAAATGATCACCAATGAAAGAAGCTCTTGATTGTCAAACAAATTCTCCTTGTCAACACTGTGGGAATGTATAGAGAACAGTATAGAGAATGTGTATACTGATATTGGAGTGTAAAGGGTTGATGCAGCATGTGAGACCTGAAAAGATATCCAAAAGCGATTGGAAGTTGTCCTTGAAGGATAAATATGGTATTACGGGTTCCAGTCAGTGTCTGTGAGCAAACTACATCACAGACAGGGAGTAAATAGTTAATTCTCTTGTGTTGATTTGTGGTTGGCTCCAAGATTGCAGAAACAGATGGCATGGAATACACTGGTTGCAACTTTGGGCAATTTTCAAGATCAAGCGGTCTTTGCAAGTGAGTGAAAATTATTTTCCAGATCATTACAGTTGTATCATGATTGACTTGTGGAGGATGCTATTGAAGATGTTTTTTTTTATGTGTCAGTGACTTATGCTTTTCTATTTATAGTCTTTTATGTGATCAGAATCCATATTCACAGTCAACTGATCACTTGTGGTCTTCAGGCAATATTGGAATTAGTCTTAAGTTCTTTGCAAGGTTTAATTGTTGCATCTTGCAACTGTAACCATTTATCAAGTGAAGAATTATCACATTGACAGAGGTTCTAAAAGAGTATTCTGTAAAAAGAAGTAAAAAATTGTACAAACCTTTCAAAACGATCGTTCATAATGCCTCAAAGTCATTGTCTTTTGAGCTGATGGAAATTGCTGAACATACATGTCTAATTGATTTTAAAATGTGCTATAGGTATGTTCTTGGCGTTTACAATGAAAGAACAGAAGTAATGAAGATGTATGACACTGAAATGGTCACACTTCAACCAAAAGTCCTGGGTAATAACAAATATCACTATTTACTGAATGATCATTTGTTTTATGTAATGGAAGATAAAATAGATCACAACTCTTAAATCTACATTGCAACTTGACATTTTTACTCTAAAGGTTAAGATTTTGATGGTTCTTAATTAGCAATTATTGTTTAAGTCCACTTAAGGTCTGTGTATATGAATATATAATGCAAAGAACACGATCTAGTTTTTTTTTTCAAGGGTGACTTCAAAAGAATTGTAATACAATATTGTTTTATTGACTGTGATGAAAAACATTGCTAATGACGTGTTATTATGTGTCAGCAGTATACAGGTAAAATATTCCATTCCACAATGGAAAATACTATATCAGACGATAAATGATTAACACCACATTGTTGTAATAATATACATATTTCAGCTACTGGTAAGCAAGCATTAGTGTCAAGCAAAATGACAGATGCTTACTTTCCTGTGTTCAATTCATTTTACCAACTAAAATTATAGATGTAAATACTGGTAGTTATTTGTTTTGAATTTTTTTTTATCAACACCCAATTTTTGGCAATATCAGAACCCTCAGAAAGAAATTCACAATGAAATGAATAGTGGAACAAAAATTTATTTTTGCATTTTGAGAAATCACATTGAATTTCTCATGGATGATTTTAAATTGATGCAGATTATCCATTATGGAGGGTGTGACAGTGGTAAAAACTTTTTCAGATGCCGGAAGTACTGAGACAAACCAAGGAGAGGATGAAGAGGACAATAAAATTGATCTTACTTTTCTCCAAAAGGTTTGTTAAAGTAATCATTTGTCAGCTCATTCTTAACAATAGTTTTAAAGGCCTGGGGTTCATTTTATGCTCATGATAAGTTAAATAAAATCCTCTTCTTAAATACCAATCTATTTATCAGATAATGATTAACTAAATCAGGATCAAAAGCTAACTGGCTTGTTTGGTTCACATTTAGAATGACCTCCTAACAGAAGCTTTTGGAAGTAAAAGAAAGAAAAGGGCAATGGCTTCTCGACAGCGAAACAAAGTAGATGACACTGATCTGAATTTAAAAGTTTCTGACGTTTTAGAGTCATTAGCTAAGGAACCTGTAGAAGCAACAGGTTTGTGAATTATATGAAATATCCTTTTTTTTTTGGACATCAGGAGACTTAATAGAGTTGAAAACACTCTTAGACTCACAGCCAAAGGCAAGAAACTTGGCAGACATGGCTTTATACATATGGCCCAGGTTGTTCAAAGCTGGGTAAAGGTAACCCAGGGTTAATGTGACATTTGATTGCAGGTCTGAAAGCTTTAAGAGAAAATTCAGTTCAAATCTTTTTGCTTGCAATTTTATCACTGGATGTTCTAAAAAGAATAGTGAAAATTTTCCCTAAAATACTTTTGAACAAAGAAATAAAGAAACCTGAATTAAAATTTAACCCTGGGTTAAAGCTAATCGGCCTTCGAACAACTGGGCCATGGTCAGTTATCAGCGAGTTCTTGAAGCAGACAAGAGAGCTTGTTAACCTGCTCTCTGTTTCAATTTCTATAAAACAGGAGAAAGAAAGTTACATATGAAATAATTGTGCTGTTTATTTAATATTTAGTTTTAGTCTAATTGCTTACCAGTTGATTAAAAAGATTTCAGCACTGTAGTTGGTAGGGGATTATGTGATCCTCTGTTATCCTCACTTGGCAATATTACAAATGGTCAATGTGCATTTTGTCAATGTTTTTGTGGACTAACATGAAACGAAAATAGTGCAGTGACTCTGGTTATCATCTTTTGGATGATGAAACTTTGGGACAAGAAAGGAAACTTCCTGAATGAAATAGGAGTTTGTAAACATATTTTTGTATTTTGATGTTGTGTTGATTGCAGATGGTGTAGAGCAGCAATCCACCATTCCTCCATATAATTTGAAGGCTACAACAGCAGCTGATGTATATAAATTAAATGATAGTATCCTTTTGGATGTGTTTTTACCCTCCAGTAAAACTGGATTTTTAAAAAATATCTTTTGAATTTTGCACAAAATTGTTGCATTCGCATTTTCTGTTTTCATCCCCTTCTTTAAGGCCCAAATTTCTTTGTCTACAGTTTGAGTCAACCCTTTAACTCACAAGATCTGACTGTAAATTCCCTCCTCTAGCTGCTACACATTTCTTTGCAAATCAGATATGAGAATTTGTTGTTAGATCAAGGTAAAAACTTAAACCTGATAAGTTTGAGTATTCTCATGATCTGTTTGCTGGATAATGTATGGATATTATGGGGAAAAAATACATGTTAATCACTTTTGGGAGTTAGTTGAGCCTCAACCTTCCTTGTTTTTTTGTACTTTTACAAATTTCATTTTTATTTACCACTTTTAGTTAACTTTTTTTCACTTGATCATATGTTTGAAAGGATTTCAAAATTTTCTACACTGAACAACTTAAAAAATTGGGACATAGATTCCTTGAATGGCTCAGATTTAAACTCTGTAGAACCCACAATTTCAAAGTATCTTTCACCACAGATGAGTACGGCTAAAAAGTTAAAAAATAATTAGTACATGTCGGTAAAAACATTTTCCTTAACTCATTTAAGTTATTTCTCCTGGGGAGTATGAAGCACTACAAAGAATTTCACAGGAAATCAAGAATGCAGACAAAGAGAAAATTTCCGAATGGAGAAATGAAAAGAGGTACAGGGAAGGTCTCAAAGGTGCCATTTGGCAACTTATGATCATGAAATGGTTGCAAGAAATAACGGTTCATCCATTAGGAAAAAATAGTCATGAGAGAAATAATGGAAAAAAAAGAAAGCTAGCTGGAAATCACTTTTGGAGGTTCACTTCAAATCTCATCTTGGACAACTAACAAGGGAATGAATTTTTTTAAAGGAAATGATAGATTATTGATAAAATTTTGTTTGTCTTGCATTTAATTAACTTCAGACCATTGTCAATAAGTAATGAAAACAATGCAGCATGTGGCATTACTGCCAGTAAAGTTCACCAGATGGGCAACTTGCGGTAGAAGTGAAGTCACTAGAATTTTTATTCTATCCATCATGGTAGCCAAAATGGTTACAGCTTTTAGCAATGCAGTGATGTGTCTCCTTTATGAACTGAATCTCTGTCCTCTAATAATTACAAGTAACGTATTCATTACATTTAACAAGACAAGGTGTTTTAATGCTATTCAAATTCATAAACAGCGACTCTGCTTTTACAAACCTCCCTCAACAAGACAGGAACATGGAATCAATAACTTTTGGGTTGAATTTATTGACCTTCAAGAAAGCTTAATAATGGTATGCCTTCAACAAATTTCTCAACAGGTTCCCAGAATATGTACTTCAGCATATCGCTGTGATGTCAGTCAAGTCTACCAAGCGACTTCATCAATCATGTTGCCTTCTGTATTTATCATACATGATGACACTGTACAGTCTCAACTATCAGGACCTCAGGAAGAAAGGTAAATAGATAGGAAATGTTAGCAGATTTTTCTTAACCTTGCATTCTGTCAAGAAGCAAAATCTTATGTGATTTAATTAGTTTACTTAACCCTTTAACTCCCATGAGTGACCAAGACAGAATTTCTCCTTACAATATCGATACAATATCAAGCAGACAAGTGATGAGAATAAAGAAAAATATCAGTTAGGGAATTATAGGTTGATCCAATGCATAATTCTCCAAAGTAACATCACAAGAACTGTATGGCAGACAGTAAAGAGAATTACTAATGAGATCTTAGGAGTTAAAGGGTTAATTCACTAACATGTATTAAATAAGTCTAACTCTTTGACTCCCACAATTGACCAGCATCTAATTTCTCCCTATATTATCTCCTCTGGATCAAACATTAAGGTGATGAGAATAAAGGAAATGATCACCGTCTAAAGAAGCTCTTGATTGGTACACAAATTCTCTTTGTTAGTACCATAGGAAATTTAAAGAGAACATTATGGAGAATATGTGTGCTGATGTTAGGGTTCAATACCAAATGATTTCTTTATTTCAGATCCTTTACCTATGGTACCAGCTGGGATTAAGAAGAAACTGTTATCCTCATTTTCTTTGGAAAAGGGAAGATCTAGGTATGCTATACAGAGAACATGTTCTCCTTTTTTCAACAGTGATATAAAACTGAGTTGAAGTAATTTGCCATGTTTGATGTTAAGAATTTTAACTCTTGTCGAGTCCCTCAACACCACAAAGAGGTGGGTAGAATCATTCTTCAACAACTAGCCCCAATTGTTTTTAAGCAGAAAAGTTGCTCAGCATGTAAATATCCCATCCACTGGTGAGCGACTTATCAGATCTGGTGTTTGCTTGCATATACCAGTATGGAGTCATTGACATACTCACAGGTTCATGTTTTAGTTTACTTATTGGGTAAGCTGTGGGATACGCAACAGCTAGGGCTTTGTGGCTTGTAAGACTAAGTGGGTCAATGTCAGAACAATTTTGCACCTACCCCTCCCTAACCCAACAACAATTAACTGATAACAACTAAGGGATAATGTCGCATTAGGGGAGGGGTAGGTGTGCAGTTTCTTCGATGCGGACATTGATCCGACTAAGTAATTGATGATCATTGATTCCTGAACAGAAATTTGTTTCTTTCCCCTGCAGGGCGGTTCCAAAACGACTGAAGGACAAGTTAGTGTCGTATATATTAGTGCTGGCTTTGATGATAGATGAATTTTCATTAGACTTTGCAGTTATCATGAAAGACCTCAAGATGCCCATCCCAAGGTATTGAAAACAAAATACATGCTATTGTCACTGACATGAGTTTTTGTACTTTGTGAGAAAACCAACCTTTAATAGTAATATGCAAGCAAGCTGGATCTCTACGAAGGCAATATACTTAAAAAGGTTATTTTTTTTACAGATTAACAAATCATCTGAAAGCAGTTGGCTGTATTATATCATCATCGAGAGTGGGGCCAGGAAAGAAAAAAATGGATGACGGTACCAGTATTGTAAATAAAACTGCTGTTCTCAAGGTTCCTCTCCCTCCTCATTTCCCATCAGGAAGACCTATCAGTTTCACTAGCAAATGAAGCCCATATTTGTCAACCTTTTCCCATATTAACAGAGTATAAGATGTACGAGTTATGTGAATAAATTCGAAGATTGATAACAGCTGTGTTTCCTCTGTTTTCTTGTTTTTGGAAAGGAAAAAATGGATGTTTTTGGAAAACAACAATGAGATTTTTGTGCTTGTAACTTAACTCTTTCCATAAAATTCCTTAACGCAGTTGTGTGGACAATTGAGCGCAAAAAACGCTATTGTGGGTGAAAGTATTGTTCTTCATTTGCTTGAGACGAGAACAGACACCTGAAAATGCCTGCTTCCATCAAAAGAGACTTGAGCAAGGGGCGTTATGAGACGCAGACGGCCATAGATATTTGAGAGTTCTTTTCTTTATTTAGATCTGAAATCTCCAAAGAAACTAAGATAATAGAGAGATTTAACACCGCGTTTATGTGAAACGTGAACGACAAAAGTAAACGCGTGATCACGATTTTCCCGCCATTTTTTCGCGTTTGCCGTTTACGTAAGATTTTGTTCACTTTTTCTCTCATAGAGTAGAAGTTAAATCGCCGGAAAAAGTGCACAAACACTACTACCTGTAAGTTATAAAAGGGCAAATGAAGTTTCATGTTAAAAATCCTTAAATTGCCGCACTTCTCTTCAGTAGACAGCTGCAAGAGCTCGCGTTCACTCGTGAGATGGCTTCCAGTCCATAACGAAGTGACGTAAGCCCACGCGAATCTACAGCAGTAAGGTTCACGGTATCTTACGTGAATGGGTCAGCTGACGTTTGCCGTTTCACGTAAACGCGGTGCTAACAATCTCTCCAATTATGCTGAAGCGACGGCTGACGTTAAATTGCTCCAAAAGTAACTGCATCTCGCCTCCAAATCACCGTTCCCGTTTCAAAGTCGTCTTTTCTTAACTGGCGGTGGGGAATGTGTAATGATCCTTTTAATTTTGCTCTTGTTATCTCGTCTTGTTTTACTAGCGCACAAATTTTGTTTAATACCTAACATTAATTACCATTCATTTATGTTTTTTTTAAAAATATGTATATATCAGTCATAAACCAAACAGTCATTTCAGTTCTGACAAAATACTATGACTCAGATACAACTTTTGCTGCGCGTTTTTGTCTCTTCGGCTTCCCGGAGGTGAATGGTACTTGATAATCACTTTCGATCTAGCCAATTAGCGGGCGCTATAGTTTACCATTTCCACAGAGTGACGCCTCACCCCTCTGCTCGTCCAAAGATAGAGGGTTCAGGAATCTGAAATGGTCACGCGGTTGCTGCTTCTGAGATGTCAAGCTGCTACCTAAAAAAACCATTGAGTATGCAGTTTTTCAGCGAACAAAGGCAGGGAAAACAACATGAAAGAAACAACATGTCAAAATTGACAACGTGTCAAGCGACAACGTGGAAGTGACAACGTCGACAACGTTTAAGCATAATATCGGAAGCGATGTCTTTGAAACTAATATTCCACGGTGACGTCATTTCAAATGCTATTGTTCATAGTAAAGCTTTTTAAAAAGTTAATTCATTAAAGACCGGTTCAGCACGCACCTCATCTGACACATTCTACTGGAAGAAGTCCTTCCTTCATTAGCGACAGCTCGAAGGCGACAACTCGAAGGTGACAACTTGGAAGGGGCGATAACTTGCGACCTTTCTCCTCGGGGCGGTCTCTAGTAACCAGGTGAACTTTGACGACGCGAGAAAACCGCAACATGGCGACGCTTTCGACAATAACACTGTCCCTACCAACGCTACTTTTAGCTTTTCTATTTATCAACTCGGCTTTTTCAGCACGGATTGCAGGGTTTCATGCTATAGGAGGATCACAGTACATTAACACGAGGAACGTTTTAGAGGAACTGGCCTCAAGGGGACACGAGGTGAACCACTTAATTACGTAACACGAGTCTCGCTGCACGCTCACACAAGTTTATCTCACTGATTTGATGATAATCTATAATTTTTTTTTTCTGTTATAGATTTATCGTACGGATATACCAATTTATGATGATAATAGTTATGATTATTACAATTAAACAATAATACTAATAATGATGGTGCTAATAATAATTCTTTCTATTTGCTATTACTATTATTATTATTACTAATAGTCTCATTTCAATGTTATTAGGAATTTTTTTTCAATTTTGGGCACCTGCGAACAATATAACCCTTTTTGACTGACCAAAGTGATAAATTTCTCTTTTCAAGATCAATACACATTTAATGAGAAAGGTGATTTATTTAACTATGTACTTGATTTTGAAAGGTTGTACTGGTTGTTGCATCATCTTTTAAAAAATTCAAACCAAGTGAGAAAGTGCCACACAAGATTTACCAAGTGCCATATGAACCAGGCTTCATGGAGAAAACTATGTTACCACTTGAACTGGAGGGGAAAATGCTAGAGCTGATGTTCAAAATGAAAGATGTCTTCCAAGTTATGTGTGAAAGTGCCTTAACTTCTGCTGAAGTTCTGAAAGAGCTACAGGATTGTGACCTCCTCATTTATGATACTACCTCTTTCTGTGCAGCATTACTTGGTGAACGCCACAACATCCCCCTTGTTGAGTTGTTGCCCCTGTCTCCAAATGGCCCAGCTGCTTCTTTTCACATGATACCCATGCCACTTTCTTATGTTCCTGTTCTGTTAACCAGATTTACCGATAAAATGACTTTCATGGAACGTGTGACAAATTTGGCATATTACTTTGGTCAGAAACTATTTATCAGCATGGCAATTAACAAGCCAATGAATGCTCTTAAACTCAAGTACAACATAGTAGTTGAAAGGAGCTTTGAAGAAGCCATTGCCAATGTAGAACTGCTGTTGATACTAGCAGATTTTGCGCTGGAATATCCCCAACCTCTGTTACCAGGTAGGAAATGTTAGGGTGGCTCACAGTACTTTTACAGTACTTCTTCTTTCTCATCAAATTTTTACAACCACAAGCTATTACAACTCTACATCAGTTACTGGTAAAACTATTAAATGACATATGTTTAATTTCAGAATTTCCCATTTACTAGTGAGGTAGTATTGTCACAGACTTTTAGGAGTTGAAAGAGCATAAGATTCTTATCCCAAGAGTTAATTGCACCTGGATTTAGCTTAGAATTTTTCCTGATTACATTTGGCACCCAAGGATTAGGGAATTGAAGATTCCAAAGATTTTTCAAGGTTCCTAAACAGTAAAGACACAATCTTGTCTCAGTTCCTGTTCCAAATCTAAGAACCAGAATTAGTCAAATAAAGCATTTAAAAGCTAAAAAGATTTTTCCACAACATATCTTTGACAGGCCAAATCATGATTGGGCCACTGAATGTGAAAGATGCTCAACCTCTCCCCTCTGATTTAGAAGAATTTATCAGCAATTCAGGAGATAATGGTTTTATCATTTGTTCCTTTGGTTCAATGGTGGCATCAAACCTTCAAAGGGAGAAAGTAGACATGTTAGCTGCAGCGTTTGGAAAACTGAAACAAAGAGTTGTTTGGAGAATTAAAGGTATTAATTTTAGAGTTATTGAAAATGTATTTTCTATCTGCTCTTACAATCTGAGTTACTTCTTAAAAAGTCATTTATTTCATCAATTGATCTGTTCAATGCAATTGTCATTCCATTTCTCTGTATATCAAACAGCAACATATTGATGCTTACTCCAAACAAATTACAGTCATGTTAACTGCAAGTAACTTCAATGAATAAACCTTGATTCCAAGAAAATGCAGCAAGCAAATGGCAACAGATAAAACAGGAAAGCAAATTGGAGTAAATGAGAAAATTCAAGCAATCAGCAGCAGACAAAATTTATGTTATCCACAAGTAAATTGTAAGTAAGGAAAATGAGTGCAACCAGTTTGCAATTGGAAAGCTCAGCATTGCTGACAAAGGATGCAATGTCTTGAACTTGACTCTGATATGAATCCTTTTTCTCTCTGGTAGGTTACATCCCATCTGATCTCAGCTCAAATGTCAAAGCTATGGACTGGTTACCCCAGAATGATCTTCTGGCTCACAAGGACATCAAAGCTTTTGTCTCCCATGTGGGACACAACAGTCTTTACGAGTCTGCATATCATGGAGTTCCATTAGTGGCATTTCCACTGGGTGGAGACCAGGATAGTAATGCTAAGAAAGCAGAGCATTTAGGCATTGGTTTAATTGTGGATCATAAGAGCAACAATGATGTGAAGCTGTTTGAAACAATTGAGAAAGTTATCAATGAATCACGGTGTGTAATGTGGTACATTTTGTAAAATCAAATGTTTTATTATGATCAATACCTATAGAATAGTAATTTCTTGGCGATGTTTCACACCTAGCCATTTTGGGATAGTCCATGATTTGATGGTGGTTGCTGCATCATCAGCACTGGACTTGACTAATTGCATAATGACCAGTTGGTTGTTCTTTTTCATTATATGGAAAAACGTCACATAGCATATAACTTAAAAAATTTCTTAGCTAAAAAAAATCTACCCTTTCCACAGATTTAAAGAAAAAGCAAAGCACATTTCTGGTTTGTTGAGGGATCGTTCACAAACACCTCTTCAAGAAGCTTGCAACTGGATAGAATACACACTCAGACATGGCGGAGCTAAGCACCTCAAAGCCCAAGTGTTTAAGGTCCCCTGGTATCAGTATTATTTACTTGATGTTATTGCCTTCCTGTTAGCAGTAGCAACTGTTACTGTCATTGTGATACGATTAATATGTAGATTTTTATGCCGCATGTGTTGTAAAAAGGGTGATGGTAAAACTAAGAAGGATTAATTTTACTATCTTGTTAGTAATCCTCTCCACTCACATCTTAAGATAATCACCCTTTCTCACACAGCCCCTTCACCCTCACCAACACAACAGGCACATCATTACCAAAGGCAGAGCAAACCATTAAGGTCTCTCTGCCATGCAAGTAAAACACATATGTAATTGCCAACTTGTTACGCACGGCTAATGGTGCTTTTGCAAGTACCTGTGTACTGCTAAAGCTAAGAAAAGGTCACAAATAAACAGAAATGCTAAGCAGTTTATTTCCAAACATTGGAAAAGCTCAGACACTGTGTACATTTTACAAGACCCTGAATCTTAAATATTGAAATACCTTACAGAACTACTTCTGCTACTGTGTTTAATATGCAAATACATCTATATATCAAAGTGTTTCTTCTTACAGTGAACAAACATATGGTTGATAGTTTGACCAGGCAATAACAATCAATCATGTAGTGTGATTAAGCAAGTAATCACATAACATGACAGACAATATGCAATCCCCCCAAAAATGAAAGTGATCTCTATGGGAGCAATGAGTGTAATACAATAATTAAGCATCAAAACTGAGCTCCAGATTGCGAAAGTATGAATGATGTAAGCTGCAACCTGGCAACCTAGCCTTCCTATGTTTTCCTTCTGGAAGCAATAATATTACAAAAGAAATTTAACTTGAGAAAGATTTCAATAGATTAAGTACCTAAATATTGAACATTTGCAAAAGTTTAGGGTCTAAACTTATCAGAAGTAAAACACAATTTTGAAGACTTATACTAGGGGATAAAAAGATAATTGCCCTTAAGAAGTATGTAGAGTTCATTTCCTGTAACTTTGACAAAATAAAAGGCCTATACACTGTATGTATCCACTCTGTGGAAAGTCAAACTAAACTTACATCAGAGTGTAATTAATAACCTGGCTCCCATTCAGATTAAATGATGCACGAGAAACAAAGAAAAATTGGCGAAAAAGAGCAAATCATAGATCCATCCTACATTGCATATTCAGTTCCCCTACCTCAATACCCAAGCTGTGTTGTATCCACAATTCATACCACAAGTACACTAGCTGAAACCTATCCATAACCTAACCAAAATACTACATTTTAACACTCCGTACACCATAGTTTAAATCGTCTACCCACAGCCTAAAACCTATGATGGGATGAATTCAATAGCTGGCTCTTTGTTTCTCTCCTTGAGGGTTTGGGATCAAGACATGACAAACTGCTTAGAAGAGTTAATTTTCAGGTTACAAAAGGATGAAATAAAGTGACTTTTTGAATTTAATAGTTTGATAATTTTGAAAAGATTTAATTATGTTATCCTAAATTTTACAATGCAGAGAATCTTTAGACATGGGTCATTTCACAAGAGGTGTAACTCTGTCACTATCATCTGAACAACTCATCTCTTTATATTTTTTAACTTCCTCCATGTAAGCTTTCCATGCTGAAGATTTGCTTTCTTCCTGTTAAAGAAAAACAAACAAACAAGGATTGAAAAGTTGGCAATAAACCATGTTCATTTATGCCGGGATGGTTCTTGCTTTGCTTTTTAAGCAACATTGCTATAGCCAAGGGGAAGTTGCATAAAAAATTTAAGGGAAACAAATGGTAACAGTGGCAGAATGATGATGAAGGAATGGTTTATAGTAACTGGATGGCTGATGATGAATTGTTCTGAAACACAAGTAGGGTCCACTGGATTCTAGATTCTTAAATATAAGGTCTGGGTTCTAGCTGTGAACAAGTCAGTGTCATACACTTTGGTAAAACAATTTACTCCTGTAGTCCTCTGTCTTCCCAGGGACCTTATTAAGTACTAGATACAAATACAATATATTTATAAATAATAAAGAGTTCAAGGAGGGGGTGACCTGCTGTAAACTGGCTCTACCCCATTCTTGCTAAAGTAACCTTGGTAATCAAAAGAAGCTACTTAACCCCTTTACTCCCAAGATCTTATTAGTAATTCTCCTTACTGTCTGCCATATAGTTCTTGTGATGTTAGTTTGGAGAATTTGGTATTGGATCAACTAATAATCCCCTAATTAATATTTTTCTTTATTCTCATCACTTGTCTGCTTGATATTGTATTGATATTGTAAGGAGAAATTCTGTCTTGGTCATTCATAGGAGTTAAAGAGTTAAGTTGATCTTGGAAACAGATTTAATTTTAAGTGAGATTAAAAGCAGAGACCCTAACTAACATAAGTTAACAAGTAGTGTTCTGTCACCTCTTCCTGAGCCTTTTTCACTGCTTCAGCTGCTTCTTTGTCCTTCTTCATTTTCTTTGCATGGATCTGCCGTGACGCACCACCCATCTTTCCAACAGTAAATTGCCTCTTACCCTAGATTTGTTAGATTAATACTAATACCATAAGACAACATCAAGCCCAAACAGCTGGTAAATCCCACTTGAAATGTTTTCCTTCTGTATCTGATTAAAACCACCTTGCAACTAGTGAATTGAATCACGATTTTTTGGTCAATAAAAAATATCATTGACTTAACCAAACAAACAAACATGCTATCCGAGCTGCATGGTTTTGATCAAACAACAAGCAAGAGTATGTACCCAAAGTTCGAAAATGCCAAGTCTTCCTAAATCAAAGTTAAAAATTATTTTCATCTGTTGACAAAAGCAATGGAAGTGCATTGCAATGTAGAATGTTGGTGTGCAACCCCTTGTCATCTTATAAAAAATTGAAACAATTTCAACTTTGAAATAAGACAAGAGAAGAATAACCCTTTACACCCTAACATAAGTATGTATATTATCCATACTGTTCTTTATACATTTCTTAAGGTGCTGACGAGGAGAATTTGTTTAACGATCAAAAGCTTCTTTCGTTGGTGGTCACTTCCTTTATTCTCATGATCTTAATGTGTGATTCAGGGGTGATATTGTTGGGAGAAATTAGATGCTAGTCACCCTTAGGGTTCTTGAGATATTTAAGATTATATATCTTTCTCGTTCAGCCGCGCAAAACGAAACATTCCACATAGGAATGTTTCCCCATAAAAGTTACAACTCTATCATTCTTTCCTCACTAAACCAGACCTGCTGTGTTAATGGAAGCGAAGGCCCAGGAGCTTTTCCATCGTTATCTCTCTTTGTACACGATTCTTTGTCCACTGTCTTTTCGTCTTTCTTTTCACAACTTGTACTTTGCCCAACCGTACTTTCAGATTTCGACTGCAGTTTTTGAGACTCTGCTTCCATTCGTTTCTTAAAAAGTTCTAGAAAGCTACCGTCGTTGGCAAATGTGTTTATCACAGTCGGAGTACTCGTATTTTCTCCCGTAGTATCAGTTTTAGATGGCGATCGCTTGGCCGTTTTTTCCTTCACGGACGCCATTTTTCTGCGTGATAGATGACGAGTGGAATTTCGCTGAGACTTCTGGGTTTTTCATCCTCGCCAAGAGAGGGATTGTGACGAGTCACCCCTAACTAGTTTCCAGTGTCCTCACCGTTCGATTTATGGAAGTTTCGCCCCGTTGCGGAAGTAGGTCAAGGCGGGCGAACCTGTTTTACTTCAGAAAGCCCCCCCATCACGAAGGTGGTATCGGGAAAACTTGGTAGACGTGCAAAGGGGGAGTCCGCAAGGTGAAAATTAGTACTAATTCCGAACCCAAGACAATTAATTTACTATCACAATATCCAGATGCTAACTGCTATGGGACTCAACAAACAAAACTATTCATTCTAGCAAACTTTATTTTGTTGCATATGAGAAAGTACAGTAACGATTCCATTGCTCTTTCATTAAAATCTCCTTCAACAACGAAACTCTTAAATGAAATTCGACAGACACAAAAAAGAATTTTCCACTCCGTCTAAAAAGGCAAATCGAATTGCGTGTGCACTGACAATGCTAAACTAAAAGCCTTAAAAAATATTGATGTAACTGGATGCAGTATCTTGAATTATTTATTTAATTCATTGTTTTAATTTTCTCGCTGAAAAAACGATGCTAAAGTAGCAGCGGCTTGGTAATCATCGACAGAGTGACGGCCTCCATCACTGTCCGAGTCAGAGGAGGAATGGAGCTTGGGCTTAGAGGTGACGCTGCTGTCAGGTGAAGGAATGGGTCTGGACGAGAGATGTGTTGGAACATATCCGCGTGGATTTGGAACAAATGTCTTGCTAGAATCTTGAGAAGCAGCACAGGACATGTTTGAATACTCCAGGCCGAGAAGCCCGCCGGGTGGGAACCAGGAAGCGCTTGTTGTAAACGGATGATAAAATGGGCTCCACGGCGTGAAAGACGTTTGGGTCAGCGGACTGTGTGGTATAATGGCAGATGATGCTTGAAACATTGTACGCGCACTGAAATCTCGGTTGTCTAAGTGCATCTCTGAAGCAGTGGCAACTGGAGCGGGTTTGTTTTTTATTTCATGTTTACGCCATCTAGCTCGACGGTTCTGAAACCAGACCTGAAGATAAAAGAGGTTTTGTTGAGAAAAATCTCACAATTACTCTGCAAATAGTTTTCCCATTATAGGCCACGTGCAACCCCTCCATTTCGAAGTTAGCTCGCATGCGGAATCTGAAATTTTTACGCGGCACACTAACACAAATTTTTGTCTCGCTTATTTCATTTTTACTTGCGCGACCAGAACATCGCAGAAAAACGACTATTCCATGTACAGCTAAAGAATTATGACTCAAATTAATCATGATTAACCGGAAGACTACAGGAAGGTTAATGCCCTTTTGACACCAGCAAAACACGATGAGCCAAGCCAGGTAAAGTGAATGAAAATAAGCAACAGAAAAGTAAAAAATAAACTCCACTTATAGTTAACAAACATCAGTGAAGGCAATTCCTTTAAAAAAATGTTTAAAGAAAAGTAGTGTTCAACAAAACAGCTTAAATCGTGTTGTAGTGTTGGTGTGAATGCGGTATAAGTTGCTCAATTTACCGGAAGACTGAATGGAAACTTGTCAACTTCTGGATCATGTATAATTTGATTTTGACCATCCACGAACTTTTTGAGAGGAAAATGCCAGAATTCACTAAATCTATTCCATAAAAACGGTCCAACGGACCAGCAGGGCTCTCACGAATTTTAAAGTATACCGTGGTTTACAGTTTTCTTTCAGGTTGCTCCCTTGTTGTTCAGTGTCGTGGGGTGAAGATCGTGACAGGAATTTGAATATCTTACCTGAATTCTGTCCTCCCCGATGTTAAGTTCTCCTGCAAGATTCTCGCGTATCTTGATGCCTGGGAATCTTTCATTCGCAAACGATTCTTCCAGCCGATCCAACTGTTCGTCGGTAAACGCTGTTCTTCGGCGTCTTTGACGTGATCTGTCACCTGAAAAGAAAAAAGACATGTTAGTGTTACCGCTTATTACACATCTAGTTAGTTAGTCTTCATCATGAGCTAGCTGAATGACATATGGTTAAATTAGCTTCGTTCTGTTTGCATGTCAATAAATATTCAGTCAGAGCTCAAGAAATTTATAATCAAAGGGAAAAAGAGACTAACAACTGGAAAGTTTTTATATGTAGCTAGCAAGGTCTTGGTAATAAACCGCGCTGTGAAGTTTTAAATTCTAAGCTTCCTTGTAATACCTAGAAGATTTGTATTTTTGGTTTGACGATCAATCAGAAAGCTTAGATTTGACCGATTAAAGTTGCTAGACATAAGCCTAGCACTCTAAACAGCAGTGATACTGCACTCAATTCTGTTTTCACCATCATATATTAATCGTAAATGGATTACTCTTTAGAAGTAAAGGAGTTTTCGACCTCACACGTCTATCGCTGCACCCTACCTTCGCTTTTCGGAGCCGATCTTTTGATTCCTTTTCCTGAGTTCATGCTGGACATGACAAATTATCAGTTTAAAGAGGGGTTTAGTAGTGAACAACTCGTGCAGTAAGCTTCTTTCGCAAGTCAGAATGAAATGACGGTCTGCGACGTTGATTCCTTTAAATAGCGCATGACGCGCGTCGTTATAAATTTAGGCGGGGCGACAAAACTTTCCATACAATAACTCTGTTACTGACTTAATTAGGAAATTAAATCTCACCTCTTTGATATTCACTTCCTTTTCATCGTGTGAGTTATTTCCCCTTGTTCTGCATTTATTCGCACCTTATGTCTTAAAAAACAATTATCTTCGATTTTAATTGGGAGGTGTCAAAATGTTGCTGCGTGTAAGAAAACGGTTATTTCGTGCGAACTGCATAAAGTTCTATTATCACAACCGTCAGGGTTCTGGGTAATGAAACATTGTTCCTGATCGAATCTACTTTTGGAAATAAAAAATGATGGCAAAGTTGTATCATAAGTGCAAAAAGCAGAGATAGTCATTAGTGTTAGAAACTCCAAGTAAAGGCGTTTTTGATATCTTCAAACGCTGAAGTGAAAATTTCATTTTTGTTCTTATTGATTTAATTAGAGTAATGAAATGATAGAACTTTTAAGGATGGCAAATTATGATTCAGGTTTCTGGCGTGTTCCATGCGTTCAGTGAGTAAAAAAGGAGCGAAGTATTAAACAGCGCCACGGTAGCGCGTCATTTTCCAATTGCGCATCGTTTCAGTTACTTACTGAACGGCTACAAAAGGGATACAAACAGTTGGCTCACGCGAATATGTCGAGTGTAGGGTAGACAATAATTGAAATAAAAAGAAGTTAAGTTTAGAGATGCTGAAAAGGTTTTTAAAGAAAGGATTTATTCTCCTGGGAAAATGATGGAATAGCTCACTTGAGATGCAGAAAGATCAAACAATCTTCGCATTTGATTTTCACCACAGATTACAATCTTTACAATTTGGTAACTGATCCTTATGAATTTTTTTTCTTTACTGGGTTAAATTGGCGCTAATATTTTCGTCAAGGAAAAAGCGGTTTCTTGTGAAAATGCTCCCATTCAAAGATCAAGGTGAGAATCAGAAAGTGTGAAAAGTTCGGATGTGCCAAAATTTTCATCCTAAGATCTCTCACCGATCATTTCATGATATTTTATGCTCAATCGTGATCTTGTAAATGCTCCTGCAACCAGAGCCTTTCTTGAAAAAGAGACTGGTGGATTTTAAGTGCCATTCAGTCCCTGAACGTAAAAGATCTGAAAATTTGAGTTGTTTTGGAAGAGATGAAACGGTAAATGTAGAAACATTTCCGCTGGAAGCTTTTCTCCTTCCAAACCCTAAACATAGTTAATAATCCCCTCGATTAACTATGCCCTAAAACAGAAGTGGTGATGTAGAATTCATTAATGCGCGATCCATTTCTAATGTGGTCTTTTAAAAAAATTTCTTTGCTCCCGGGGGGTCTCGAACCCCCGACCTTCGCATTACTTCAGCACCCTCGGCGGACAGCGCCTGTACTGCTTATAAGTACGACGCTCTAACCAACTGTGCTACGGGAGCTTGGATGAAAGAATCTCCTAGAGATAAAATCTTATTGGTTAGCTAATGCTTCGGAAAATTAGGTTTTGTGGTTGCATTCTACCGATAATTTTCAATCATTCTTATAACTCTTAAAGAGCGCATCACCATTACTAAGTTAAGATGAAAAACGAAGCATTCATAACATATAGCGCACATCTTCCGGTTAACTCGTCTTCACGCGCGCGCTTGGTATAATGGCTCATAAGCCATAATGGCTAAGCCAATGAAAATTCTTAAATTGCATTATCTAATGATCTAGTTTTTAATAAAACCCAATATCTGCTGCAGATATTGGGTTATCATGTCAACTTCACAAGGTGTTACCTAAATCTGATAAACTTGGCTATTCTCTTTATCTGCTTTGATAATTGTGTATTAAAGTTCTGAGGAGAAGGTTCGTTTAAATCCCCTACGAGTTGAGTTAAAGGATTAAATGTTGCACAAGAGACCGAAGGATTCAATGATCACTGAATTCTAATTTCTTAGTTTCACACTCAGAACATACTTTATTATCAATGAAGTTTTGATCTGATCTTCTTGCAAAATCTTTATCATATGCTTCCTCCAAGAGGGACAACACCTCTGTTAAAAAGGTTTAGCTGTCTCAAACTCGTGTAGCCTGCAAAACAGGTGCTGTTTAATAGCGTTTTTTAGAGAAGCGGAGGCCTTGCGCTCGGCGAGTGTGACTCCGCTTTGCGCTTAGTTCGCGTGATTCGTAAGGATAAATTAGATGTTAGCAAAAGCCACTCTAAGGGCAAAGGGTCGACTGCCATTCCAAAACGAAGCGCAAACCAGCGAAAAAAAAACCAAAACAGTGTATATCGAGTAAAACTAAGTCCACATGCCAAAATTCAACTACTTCTGAACACTTTCAAAAATGGCCGAAAAATCAAGGGGTCGTTCTTGCTCTGAGCCTTTCAATTCTCCCTCTAGGCTGCTCTACATTCATCAGTGAGGTGGTTATAAGGATTTAACACGAAAGCAGCAGGCAATTCAAAATTCAAAGGTTTTCTTTATTCTGGGCCTATCTTTTTTAGGATTATTTTTATCACACGGAGAACTTACACACTGATTAACTGTGTCGCCAAACAGTTGAGTACTCTGAATGCACTACACTTCCCATTGAGACACACTTTCTTTTCAGCTGTTTAGAATTCAGATTTAAATATTCTATACCTTCTGAATTCTACTGCTCGCCTTAGTCTCTATTCCTTTACTCACGAATCTGCTCAGAGTTTGCATGTAAGTTGGTAGTCCTGTGGGATCTATCACAATCCTTCAAATAGATTTAACTGGTGTGCCTGTTATGAACACAAGGTTGAATTGAATGCTAGGATTTTCTAGTTCTGGGGGGAAAAGATATTATACTGCCCAAGGGAAAAATTGACATTTCCTTGAAACTACTTCAGTTAACCACAGATTTCAGAGACAAATTGTCGAAGAGAAACCTTAGAATTGAAAGTATGGACGTTAAAGAGATTATTTGAATTTACGTTTACTTGCTTAAGTTATCTTTGTACACAATAACAGTCAAGATTACGTCATTCATAACGGATATAAAAGTAAATTTTTACAAAATATGTCTAGTATAAAGGTCAATAGAAATATTGTATAAAATTTTTGCTAAGTTTAAAGGAGTTGGGTCACGCTTATTTCGAATTCCTGTCACACAAACCAGTTTTTCCTGTCACGGAAATCTAACTGTTGTGACAAACAATCCACCCTTAAAAGGGGCAGGGGTGGAAGGGGGGGGAGGGGTCGTTCTCCAACTTCTCATAGCCAGTCTACTTTTGGAGAAGTTACATGTTATTGACTTGTAAGAGGCGCAGTATGGCAGGTTTCCACACAATTTGGATACTTTTGTTAGAAAATTGAAAAGATAATTGATAAATTGACAACAGCTATCATTCACCTCTTGTTACACTCAGATCTTAACTTCAGAGGTTCACCTGTACAGACAACCCTACATACAAACAAATAATTATATCACAATATTGACTACTGTGTTGCTGCGATCCTCTTTGATGCTTGCAAAGCTTTCTTCCATATGTCACAAAATAACAACAACAAAAAATACACCCACAATTGCATGGGGACATCATTCTATGTGATAACTATTTTATAATCTACTATTCTAGGATTATGCTGCATAAATCTCATTGGGCCATCTTGTTTAGAATTGGAAGAATCTGGTCAAACCGGGGTCTCTTGGTTGGATCATTATTCCAACAGATTGACACAAGCTTTGCCATCTGTGTAGATACACCAGGTGGAACAGATGGTCTTAAACCTTCAAGTGCAACCTGCAATTGATAAGGTTAAACAATTTAATTAACTTAAACAAATTAGCAGCACAGGAAATATTGATGACTAGGAAATTAATTTAGATAGGGTTATGTATCCAGAGATTCATCTCCACATCAACATAGAAACTTGCTCAGGCCAAAAAAAATTAGCCAGAGAGTGCTGTAAAGTAACCAAAGAACTTTCTTATCTGAATTGCTGAATGTACAGTCCAAGAAAGTAATTGAACATTGATCACCTTCATGCCAACTTCCATGGGTGACAAGTGACCAAAAGGCACTTCTCTTGTAACTAGCTCCCAAAGGATCATGGCATAACTCCACATGTCTGCTGAGCGTTGATCAACTTCTTCAGGGCTCTTCTGTAATACTAGAGGATGCACAGTGAGTTAGAATTCTGTGAAAAATGAAACATCTTTTAACTACAGCTGCTCCTGAAAATCACAGTGATGACAGTTAACAATACCCAAATCAATTTCTAAATTAAACATGAACTATTTCTCTTCTTTTCAAGCCTAGCAGGGTTTGCACTCTTTCAATAATTTAAAATTCCATGACTAATTTTCAAACTCCATGACTATCTAGACCTGGAAAATGATGTAGGAACTAAATTTCATGTCTTTCCAACATTTCTGTGACACAGATAATTCCTGATTTGAACATATTACCTTCTGGGGCCATCCAGTTTGGACTTTCAATCTTGCTAAGATTCATGAAGGAAAATCTGTAATCAGCCATACTTATTCTTGCTGTGAGATCATCATCAATCTATAACAAATAAAGCAGATTACAAGTTCTACTTCACAAGAGGAATAGAGATGGACAAAAAACATGATTATCTCCAAACATAACATGAATACATTGATGGAGTTGTCTTTAGAAAAATGTTATACATATCTCATCAGAACCGGAGCAGAAACTTGTGATAGATTCTCATCCTATTCATGGGAAGTCACATAATACATACCATGACATGTGTGCTTTTAAGGTACAGCCTTGGAATAAGCTGGTCCAAAGAATGTAGGTATTCCATTCCTTTGGCAATGTCCAATGCAAACTTCATTGCTTGCTCATGGTCCACAATAATTCCTGTTGGTATCACAAATTTGATGTCTTAGAAAATGCAATTGCTTAATATCTACAAATAATTTATTGAAAAAGGGGCTTTACTAGTTGGGATTTTTTTCCTGAAACATTCATCACCAAGTTTGAATAGTAACAGATTAAATCTTGAGCATTGTGAAGATGTGTGATTTCTTCTTTTTTAAATCCCAGATACAAAAGGCAAAAAAGGCAACTGTGATCATCACAGGCCTCTGTAACAAACACCTTTGCATCTGCTTTTTCCAAAACAAGTCAACTTATGATTTTGATAGGTGCACAAATTCAAACCAGACTGAAATTGTGTTACTTGTCATGGGGACAAGAATCTTTGGCAAGGATGAATATTTTACAGAAATTATTCAAGAACCATGAAGCAAATTGCTGTAGATGTGATTTGACTTCACAATGTGTTACAGTGTCTTATTGAATAGAATATACTCGCTTTAGAAGAGTCTTTTCTCTCACCTGTTCCTTCATGTAAAACATTGTAAAGTGAACCAAATGGAAGATACTGTGAAAGAACTATCAGGTCCTTGGAGTCATTCACTGCACCAATTACTGGTAGGACATTTGGATGGGAAAATATTCTGAAAACCAAAAGGAAGTTTTAATTGAACCATGATAAATGAAATGGTCTGATAAATCTGTCTAAGTGAACTGGACTTAACCTTTTAACTCCCATGAGTGACCAAGGCAGAATTTCTCCTAACAATATCGATACAATATCAATCAGATAAGTGATGAGAATAAAGAAAAATATAAACTTGAGAATAATTAGTTGATCCAGTACTAAATTCTTAGAACTAACATTATACGAATTGTATAGTTGACAGTAAGGAGAATTACAAATTTGAACTGGGAGTTAAAGGGTTAACACACTGACTGACAATAACTCCTCACTTGACTCTGTTGATGACTTCTGCTCTGGTTGTCAAAATCTCTTGTCACTACTACTGACAACAGTCCTTCTCTGGACTTCTCTCACCTGGGCTATGAGCTATGAGCTATGACTATGACTATGTGTTCTAATCCATTAACACCCCCCAACAAATAATTATACAAATATTTCAATTAATTTACCTTAATTTTGAGTATTCCTCACTGAAATCTCTTGATATTCTTTTGTTGACCATTCTAATGGCAAGTTTTTTGCCAATAATATTGAGATCATTCCACTTCCCTTTCCATACCTGAAAAAATAATAAGCCAACATTACAACTGCAATATGTTACATATACATTTTACAGGGTTGGGTTGTTCAAAGCTAGGTTAACATAACCCAGGATAAGTGTGAAATTTTCATACAGCTCGACATCATTTCAGTTCTGAAAGCTCAAAAGAAAACATTTCAAATCTTTTTACTTACAATTTGATCATTGAATGTTCTGAAAAGAAGAGGGAAAATTTTTCCTAAAAGGCTTTTGAATATAAAAATAAAGAATCCTGGATTTAAATTTTAACCCTGGGTTGGTGCTAATCAGCCTTTAAACAAATGGGCCCAGAGATCTAGTAAGTAATTGATTTTATCTATTACATATGAAGCAGTCAGGTGGTAAAAAGGTCAAGACATCACATTTGATGAATACAAAACAGATAACCAGGAACCATTGACTGGAATTTATGATCACAAAGTTTGTTCTCCTGAGATTTTTAAAATTTGTCAATTTTTTACTGATTTGTCTGTGACTTTGTGACCTTTATGACAAATCAAACACCTAAAAATTTCATTGCTTCAAATCTAGCTGGTGTTTACAGCCTAAAGATAAAATTCAAAACAGAGAGTCTACATATTGAAGTAATACTTAAAATAGTTTTATTGATCTAACTAAATACTGTCTAAATACCTCGCCAGTCACTGTTTTGCTTAATTTTGTTGCCAAATCAATTTCCTTGGGTTGAATCCAGGAAAGTCTGGACTTAATGTCCCGTAAATCTGTAAATTGAACCAATTAAAAACACAAATTACTGTAAAATTGCAGTTAATGTAAGGAAATCAAATGTATATGGTGTGCAAGTCAAAACCTGTACACCTCAACTGGATTAGGTAATCTTTATCAATGTCAAGTTCATGTCAAACTGCAGAAAACATCTTTCTGTCTCACCATCTTTTTTTCCATGCTTTGAACGGCTATCTGTAAGATGACCAAATGACTATAGTGAGACATGTATCAAGCACTTTCCAATTCCAGATGTTTATGGAAGAATTTGCACACCTAACTATCATGCAAAGTCTAGCTTGAGAGAATCTTAAATTGTGTTTGTAGGAATAATACTTTTAGAAAAGTCACCTTTGTAAGGAATTCTTTTGAGATCTTGTCCAAGTTGTGCTGCCAAGTCTGAGGAGCAAGGGAAACAGTTGATTGTTGTTTAATAAAAACAGAGGAATCTGGTTTGGTTGGTAACCTTCAATCACCACTTAAAACAATATTTGAACATTAACCATCTCACCTCTTAAAATTTCTGCCAGGAAAGGTTTACATTTATCAAGTGGGGTCTCCCCGTATTTATTGCACTGTGATACCAAAGCACCTCTCTTGACTAGCTCCTATGAAAGAAAACATAAATATAGAGACAATCGCTTTACATCTCCTAGGATAGCAGGTTTGTAGCTATGAAATTAAGCTGCTGACTGAAATTTCAAGTGACGTGCCTCAAAGATGGCTGAGTTAGAGACCCAGCCTGGTGATGAAATTTTGTTCCCTAGCCAGCAATCTGGCCAATTTTGCCTGCAGCTGATGCTTGGTGACAACCTAGTCGACACTGCCAAAAACTACCCCAGTATGATGAGCGTGCATGGTCTCTTGAATATGCCCAAATCAATCTCATTTCTTTTGGTGGAAGTAGATTTGATCTTACAGCCACTGCAATTACCATTAGGTATATAAATGGCTGCAAAATCTTAAGAGGGTCTAAGTATAGACAATGCTTTAGTAATTCTTGGTAACAACAAAATTATGTGTAAATCAATTCAGAGTTTCAACATCCCCATCCCAAGTAACCCCCTGTGTTTGGTATTTGCACCTTTGAAGATTGGCTCATTTGAACCCCTGCCTCCGAGGCCAAAATTGCGATCAAATACCCACCCAATGTTAACCCTTTAATTCCCATGAGTGAGCAAGACAGAATTTCTCCTCACAATATCAATATAACATCAACCAGATAAGTGATGAGCATAAAGAAAAATATCAATTTGGGGATAATTAGTTGATCCAATACTAAATTTTCTGAACTAACATTACAAGAATTGTATGGTTGGCAGTAAGGAGAATTACAAATTTGAGCTGGGAGTTGAAGGGTTAAACCATTCTTTGTGTGATCAATGAAAACAAAATCATCTGGCAAAGTCACATATCAATTATTGCTGCCACTATTGGGTTTTTGCAAGTAAGCATTATTCCACAATGTGAAAGTTGTCTTTTCTGAGCCATTTACTCATGAAAGCAGACTCTTTACTCATAGACTCCTCCAACAAAACATGAAAACATTTCTGCCCCACCCAAACAAGGTTAAAATTACCCACCCCCCCTCCCTCCCGATCACAGACAACAGTCAAATGCCTGTGGGTTACATAGGCATTCGGGAGGGAGGACATTGAAGCTTCAAATCAGTGGGTGCATTATATGCCAGATTTTAGCATAAGATGTGGCAAGATGTCAAGGGTAGAACAATTTCTACCTTCCTATGCTGACACAATTTGATTGCTACAGGCGTGAACAACCAGGTCCACTTTCAACTTTCCTCACCAATTTATTTGTTCATCCATTGACACCCAGGAGTGGCCAGGTTGTTAATCATTGCATGCTTGCAATATTATCAATGCACTTTAAACAATTTTGGTCAATAACAAGAATAAAAAAAAGGCATAAACAAGGGGAAATTGTTTGAAGGTAAAGCTTAATTCTCAGGACTAGCAAAAAAAATTAATTTTTTAGGATAAACGTCATCTGCCCCTGGGCTTTCCAATACCTTACCTCTGCACATTCTTCAGAATTCCAGAAGCAGGCATAATGGAGCGGCGTATTTCCATGATTATTGACCCCATTAACAGGACATTTATTTTTCAAGAGCTATAGGAGTAAACAATCATGGGAATTAGTAAACAATTTTAACACTTTATACCTCGATAATATCATCCATTTTCTCTATACTGCTATCGACATACTTCCCAAGGTGCTGACAAGGAGAATTTGTTTAACAATCATGTGCTTATGTGTAATTCAGGGCTAGTCTCTCTTAGGGGTCAAAGGCTTAACTCCCAGTAGTGATTAATATGTAACTTCTCCCTACAATACCCATACATTATCCAGTAAACAGGTAATGAGAATACTCAGACTTATCAAGTAGAAGTTATTATCTTGATCTAACAACAAATTCTCACAACTAATTGACAAGGTAATGTTTAGTAGCTTGAGGGGAGAATTGGCAATCAGAACCCGGGATTTATGGGGTTAAAGAGTTTGAGAGGGTGGGAATTAAATTCTGAATTTTAAACAATTAGAGGAAGAATAAGTTTTCCAAAAATCAAAGGCACTGACTTGGTACTTGAGTATAAAACGGAAAGGTAAAACTGACTCAGACAGAAGTTATTGTATATTATTAATTGTATAATATTAATAAAACGGTCTATTAATAGCAGTCTGATATTCATACCCTATCATTTATGTCCTTAGTTTCACAGATTAGATAAGCACATCAGTTAAATTTCAGTTAAAATCAAATTGCAATTTAAAAGTGTTACAGTGTACGTGTATCTACTGCGCTGAGTTATCCGCTATTGAACAGGGTGTCATTCAATTTGCACAACAAAGAGAACAACTCATTTGTTTAACCTCATCCAAGTTTACATCACAAAACACTGATTTGATCTGTTGTTTACTTTACGACTACCGCGTTAATTTACTTGGACGAAAATTACTTCGCTAAACAGGTCATGTTTACATGTGTTGCCCGCAGAAACCTGATAATTTTCAAGTTTGATGACCAAGACGCAGTCTCACCTTTTGTATAATTTCCTTGTTGCCTTTGCTGGCGGCCAAATGTAGGCCATTATCACCGCCATCGTTTAAAGCAGTGATCCGTGCGCCTCTTGATAAAAGTAGATCAAATACTGCGGTTTGGCCTTCTCTTGCTGACCATAACAAGGGAGTAAAACCATGATCATCTCTGTATTAAAATAAGATGATAAATTCACAACTTAAAGGATAAGAAAATGTAATTCACACAGAACTCACACGTTCAAAGCTGAATCGTTCTCTCTCTTAAACGCTAAATATATCCCAAACACATAAACAGATCAAGAAGTACAATGCACGTTGACGGATCATGTTGTCTAGAAGTAGCGTAAAGGCAAAGTCTGGAAGCTGAAACTGAAATAAGGGTAAATGGCGAAAACGAAGTGATTATTCGCCTTCTTAAACGCTTGTCACTCTTTTCTCAAACAAAGCTGACAGCTTTTTCACTTTAATAGAACTGTTGACACTGTCTGCTTACCCTTGATTCAAATCGTTCGAAGTGTTTTCGAGCCATGTCTTCACAAATCGAAGATTGCCTTCACGCGAAGCAGAGAAGATGTCCTCCATCACTCGGAAATCACTCCGATGCGTACAGATATAGCCGCCTAACTAGCTAACAGAACGGAAGCAATTGGCAATACGCATAATTAGCACACTACGCCAGATCAAAAGGCAGAACATTTGTTAGGGCGGCGAGATGTAATCACTTGAGGAATGGCAAATATTGTACGCTTGTTCGGCAGTCCGCTGACTAGACAAAGATGATGAAGGGTGTTTTTTTGGGCGGTGTTTGGCATATCCGCACCGAATTCCACAGAAGAGGCACTCGAGTAGGAAAAAACGGATAATGCATGGCATATAAAGTTCTCCTATTGCCCTAGATGAATATTCTATGGTGGCTGCGAAATTCTTGCAATCTGGTCAGCAACTTGGGCAACTCTTTTTTCTGATGGACGCTTTCTGATAGTCCCTAAACACTCTTTTATAAATAATCAGCCAAAAAGGGGCAAATAATTCTTCACCCCTCAACAAGTACCAGGATTACAAATTTCAAATCCCCAGCCTGTCATCTTATTCCATGATCAGCTTGGTACACTTGTAACTTGCACCAGAAATTGAAAATCTTGCAGGAAAGATCAAACACTTTGAGAGAAGTCAATTTCATGACAGTTTCACTGAGACCAACATAAATCGTGATTTGGCATACTGTACAAATCATTTACTGCCAAATTATCCAGAATCTGAAGTTTTGTCTGATTGGTTGAACACTGATTCTCGCTAAACTCACATGAAAAAGAATGCCTCATTGCAAATTAAAATCAAAAGAATCTAGAAGTCAGGAGTTCTTCTTGCAGAGACATAAATTTTTTTCAACAGGATAGTTTGTGTTCATGGTATTTTTTCCAAGTGTAGAGAAAGGTTTTTAAACATGATCACAGAACAAGATCCACACCTTCCATATTGCCATTCCCAAAATAATAGAACCACTGAAATGTATTTCAAGTATTCAAACAAACTGTAAGCATTTAAATATTATATTTTTGTTTTGCTTCCTGTGATATTTTGAGAGCCTGAAATATAAATAGCCTTTATGCTCCATAAGAAATCTTTGTTGCGTTTCTTGTGCTAGAAATGTCTTAGTAGTCCTTTTACTCCAAAGATCTCATTAGTAATTCTCCTTACTGTCAACCATATAATTCTTAAGGTGTTAGTTTGCAGAATTTGATATTGGATAAGCTAATAATCCCCTAGTTGATAATTTACTGTATTCTCATCACTCATCTTCTTGATATTGTATTCATATTGTGAGGAGAAATTCTAGCTTGGTCACTCATGGGAGTTAAAGGGTTAATGAAAGATTCTCCTGAAAGAGCAGACAAAGGGCAACCTCTAAGAAGATGGAACTCATGTACTAGATGAATGTGAGAATATTTTAAGAAGCTCATCAGCTGCCATTCCCGGTGTGACTTCCCCATCTGCTACTAATTTTTCATAGTTACAAATTTCTCTTTGAACTTCAGGATTTGATTTAAATCTTCCCATGATTTGTTCTCTGATATGATTCCACATCCAGACAACATGCTGTTTACAACGTCTTTGTTCAAGTTCACCATTTTCAACCATAATATTGTAATACTGCTGCATAGTTTCCCAAGCTTTCTCGATACCATCACCAGTTCTGGATGAAACACGGAGAACCTGAAAGTTCAAAATAAAGTAAAAATAATAAATAATTTACAATAAAAAATGTTTATCAACTTCTTATAAAAATGGTGAAAATAACAACAAATATTTGCTATTAAAAATCTCATCTCATTAAAAAATGTAAGTTAAAATCCTCTGACTCCTAAGAGTGATTAGCATCTAATTTCTCCTCATAATATCATCCCTGAATCACACATTAGGGTAATGAGAATAAAGGAAATGATCATGAACTAAAGAAGCTCTTGATTGTTAGACAAATTCTCCTTGTCAGCACTCTAGGAAGTGTGTACAGAACAGTGTGGAGAGTACACAGACTGATGTTAGGATGTAAAGGGTTAATCATACCGGCGGATTCCACTGAGCTGACTTTTTCTTTAACAATTTCAGAGCACTGATGTACTCTGTTTGTATTCTCTGAGCTGGAATAACAAGTTCTCCATCACATTTATTGACCAACACAAGATCTGCCATCTCCACGATGCCTTTTTTGATTCCTTGGAGTTCATCACCACCAGCTGGTGGAATAAGAAGAACAAACATGTCTACCATGGAGGCAACAGCAATTTCTGATTGTCCGACTCCCACTGTTTCTACCAAGATAGTGTCATAACCAGCAGCTTCACAAAGAAGAATGGCTTCATTTGTGCTCCGGTTTACACCACCTACAAGCATAAAGTTATAAAAGATCAGAATATGTATTTTTTCCTATAGTAGCACAAATGCACTAGTGAGCTCCAGGGGACTTAATTCTGGGCTTTTACCAAATGGGTATATTAGAGACTGTGGTTTAATATGAACTTGTTGAGAGCCAAAGTGAAAGTTATTATTTCATTTTTAAATTGTCAACATCTTGAACCTTTAACTCCTAAGAACTGATTGTTAGTTCTCCCCTCTAGCTGCTACACACTTCCTTGTAAATTAGTTATGAGATGATGTAACCGAGGTGTTTGATTATCATCATCATCATAGTTGACTACATCTTTAATGTTGTTGTTGTCGCAATCTTTACTGCAATGTTGGGTGAGATCTCAGAAAAATTATGGCCACCTGGGCAGACACCTATGAGGAGGCACTTGCTCTATATCTGATTTTTGACATTAAGGCAGCTCTAGGAAAATTTGAGATTACCCAGCGTTCCACATGAGGGGGACGGCCTGATGTACGCATTGAGATTTCGTGACAACTCTGTCATTCGTGTCTTGTCGCCCAGTAAGGATCCACCTGTAGTAGAGGATGAAGGATCCACTGCCAAAACAGCAACCCGATGCTTTCCGTTGGTTAGAAAATTCCCAAAAGTCTCAATAAATGTAGATTTTCCACCTCCTGGGGGGCCTGATAAACCAATCCTGAAGGAGCACGGCTGGCCATTTGAGAATGGAGGTGCATGTTTTGAATGTTTAACAACCCTGGAGAGTAGTTTCTGTGCCTGGTGATATTTTATTGGATGAAGAGTTTCCACCAATGTTATGGCTTGCGCTAAACTTCCACGGTCGCCTCGAATGATTCCCTGAAATAACCGCTGAATGTGATACCCTTCGTCCGTAGATTTGACTTCGAGATTTGTCGAATAATTTCTGCTTATCAATTCGACCCAAAGAGGACGTCTGTAGGCTGAAATACGGGTAAAATCACGTAAAACAAAACGATAAGGCATTTCAGATTTTTCGTCTAATCCGCCATCTTGGTGTCAAGACCTGTTTCACTTGAGAAGGACTGGGTATAGTTACGCTTTGTCACGCAGTTACTCACGCAATTTTGTTTTCGTGATAAGCAGCTGCTAAAATAATGTTTGCGTAGGAAGCTGGGGGCGAGTATCCGGCGATCCTTCACGTCGCTGCTTTATGTATCTGACAGTCCATAAATTGGCTTTCTATTATTGGTGGCCTTTAGAAGTTGGCATTCAACAAAGAGCCACATGAAAAGATGAGTTTAAGTGTCTTTGGTGTGAAAGAGCGTCAGAAATTTTTCTGGAAATATTATCGCCGGTGAAATGGATCAGGACGGGGACGCCGTTATCTTCACCTGTAACGACCACCATCTCAAAACTTTCAAGAAGATGGAGGGTTATCGCAAAGATTCTAAACTATGTGATATTATTTTGGTGGTTGGGGAGAAGAGGATTAAGGCTCATCGACTCGTTCTCGCTGCTTTCAGCGACTATTTCAGCGCTTTGTTCACTGGTGAACTCTGTGAGAAGGGACAAAGTGTGGTGCATTTAACTGACATGGATCCCCAAGCTGTTGAAGATCTCGTTCAGTATGCCTACACTTCTCATATCGAAATTCGCGTAGATAACGTGGAGAACTTACTCTCAGTGTCGTGTATTTTACAGATTGATGAAGTGAAGGAGGCCTGTTCTGAATTTATGAAGCATCAACTGCACCCTAGTAACTGTTTGGGTATTCGTGCTTTTGCCGATGGACACGGTTGTAGTGAACTGTATAAAATCGCTGATGCGTTTACGAAGGAGCGATTTGTTGACGTTGTCAAAAATCAAGAATTTGTGCTTTTGAGCTCGGAATGCGTGGCTCGTCTTCTTTCAAGCGATGATCTGAATGTTTCTTCTGAATCGCAAATTTTTGACGCTCTCTGCATGTGGGCAGAGTACGATAAAGAAAGTAGAAAGAAAGTATTGCCGAGATTGTTGGGACTTGTACGATTGCCTCTACTTGCGCCGGAATTTCTTGTTGATAAAGTGGAGATGTCATCTCTATTCCGTGATATCAGCTCCTGTAGGGAGCTCATTATCGAAGCAATGAAATACCAGCTTCTACCAAAACGGCGATTTCAACTTCAGAATTCAAGGACAACCCCAAGAAAGTCTACAGTTGGCAAACTTTATGTCGTTGGAGGTAAGTCAATATTTTCGCTTGGCTAATGAGCTTATTCAAATCAACTCGGTGTTTCTAGATCGTTTGACTCTTTTGTTATTAAGAATGATAAATTAAACTTAAAATGTTTTTGTCAAGTGGCTGTTCCCTTCTGACGTAAATATGTGAGTTGATGAGGTAGTATATTGTTCCGAGGTCGAACCGCGTAGAGATATTGGTGGTTTTCATGATGATGAACAATACCGCACTCTCAAGTGGAACTCTGAACAGGAAGCGCGGTTGGATGAAGTTCTTTTTCTTGTTGAAAATAAGCTTTTTATTTCCCCGTTAAAATAATTAAATTTAAAGGAATTTTAAGTGGCTTTTGGTGGGTGCGGTTTGAAAAAACATCGACGAAACTCGTGAAAAACAACAAACTTCTTTTTTTTGTTCAATTTTAGTATTTTCGTGACTTTCCAAGTTTTGTTCAGGTGATCTGGAGTTTGTCATCATAGAAAGGCGATGCTTTTCAGTTGATGATCGTCTGTTTTCTCAGTACTTGCTCTACTTACCAGAAAAGTAATAGTATAGGGAGAAACTGGCTATTAATCCACAGTAGAGTTGTCACTTAAAATTGATGTTACCTCAATAGGAAAAGGCACATCTTAGGTGGGATGTTTTTGTTTGAACTTCCCAATCCTCAAGATTTTCAGTCATTATCTTTATTAGCAGTGTTTTGAATAAAAATTCATTTGACCTCTTATGGAATGGCTGTTTGGATATTTTCCAGAACAGTTAAAGGAAACGTGCTTTCTATTGCGTGCCTGCATGCAGAGATTTTAACCATAATCAGCTTTGCAAAACAAAAGGTTTCAGGCCAGAGTCTTTTCTTATATTGATGGTTTTGTGTCATGAAAAACAATTAGCTTTGCTTCTTAACCTTTATTCTCAAAGAAGTGACAGAAAAGAAAATATTGACAAAATATTGAAGAACCAATATCAATATCATAAAATATTGCAAAGTTGCATCCTATTTATTGAAATTACTTGAATAAATAAAGCAAACCTGGGTATTGTTTTTTCCAATTGTGCTCAAATGTTCTCATCACCACAAACTTTTTGCCTCCTTTTGATCCCGCAGTGAGTGTTTTGTAATCTTTTAAATGAGTTATTTAGTGTTCTGTTTATTCCCTCTTCATGTGACAGCTTCTTGTAATACTCTGGGTATAACAGTCATATGATCACATTTTGTTTGATATGCTCTCATTGTAATTTTTGCAAATTTGCCCTAGTTTTGTGAAAGATGATTTAAAACAATGAAATATCTAATATTTGAGGACTTCTCAAGAAATAAACAATAAGTTTATTCATTAAAAGTAATTAAGTTGTTCTGCCATTTTAGTCTATTGCACATGGCTGTTAAGTGTTATTGACTTGCTTTTAATGGTTTTGGCCTCATCAACAAGGCTGCTTAAGGTCTCTATCATTTAAGAGCATTTTAAAAAAGAACATTAGGCTCTTTTCTTCCCAATTTAGGAATGGATTCATCCAAGGGGGCAATCCAAATTGAGCACTATGACCCACGCAAGAACCAGTGGTCTGTGGTGTCTCCAATGGTTACAAGAAGGCTGCAGTTTGATGTGGCAGTGGTAGGTGGTAATCTCTATGTTGTGGGAGGCAGGGATGGATTGAAGACATTGAATACTGTGGAATGTTACAATCCAAGGACAAAACAGTGGAGTCCTGTGCCATCCATGAGCACTCATCGTCATGGGTTGGGTGTGGCAACCTTGAATGGCCCTCTTTATGCTGTGGGTGGCCATGATGGCTGGTCTTACTTGAGCACGGTGGAAAGGTCAGTTTGTAACTTTGAAACTCTTAAATGTAATGCAATTGTAAGGGTGCTTTATCTGTTCTCGAAATCTGCTGGGAATAGTTGACTGGGATAGAGGTGGGTTAACACCAGTGGAGTGTTCACTTTCATCCAATTTTTAGAATGAAATTTGAGATTTCCTGATTACTTCCAGATTTGACCCTGATACTAAACAGTGGAGCTTTGTTACACCAATGACGACAGCTCGTAGCACCGTGGGAGTGGCAATACTTAATGGTAGACTCTATGCAGTTGGAGGAAGGGATGGTTCTTCTTGTCTGAACTCAGTTGAGCGTTATGATCCTCACACCAACAAATGGTCAGTCACTTGCCCAATGCTTAAGAGAAGGGGAGGTAAGTCTTTATTGAATGTTGTTTAGAGTTTTATGGATTTCAAAAACTTCTTTGTTGTTCAGTGTCTTTTTAAAATTTGTTGTTGTTAATGTCATGAGTGCAGATAAAGGGGGAACCTTTTCATTTGAATCTAAGGTTTAAGAATAATACTGGGTTTCTTTATTTCATTTTTATATCATGTATTCCAGTCAACTTTACAACCATATTTCTGTACAGAGGACAAAAATGTTCTCCCAACAGCATCATTATACAGGATCAAGTAAAGCAAATATGGGCAAAGCACGTAGTTCATCAAAGAGTTTTCGACCTTTTCTCATATGGTACTCTTTTGTTTTCATAATGAAGGTGTTGGTGTGGCTGTTCTTGATAATTTTCTGTATGCTCTTGGGGGTCATGATGCACCTGCCAGCCAAGACTGTTCTCGCCAATTTGATTCAGTGGAAAGATACAACCCTAATACTGACCAGTGGACCATGGTTGCACCCATGATCAACTGCCGTGATGCTGTTGGTGCAGCATGCCTTGGTGACAGGTTGTATGCCATTGGTGGTTATGATGGATCCAAATATTTGAGTGCAGTGGAGTCGTATGACCCTGAGAAGAATAAATGGGAAGAAGTTGCTTCTCTTAACTCTGGAAGAGCTGCAGCCTGTGTGGTGTCTGTATCAAGTGATCCAGTAGCAGGTTGATTTTTTGGCCAACCTTTTTGGACAAATTATTATTTTTATTGACTTAAAAGTAGTACTCTTCAGCTGAGAGATCTGGAAACTGTAAGCACCCAAAATATTTATGGAAATCAACTGAATGACATATTGAGAGATAACTAGACTGAGGAAACTCTTCTGTGAATTGTTTGTGGTTTACTCCAGAACCTATCCCTTATCTTCAATTAAGTTATGAGTGATTAAGTCACTCATAAAACAATAAGCATTCACAAAATATTTTAGGTGTTCATGGTTTTTTCAAGTTTGATGGTAGTTTTTGCTCTTCATTTTTGAATAGTTTTTGCAGCCCATGAATACACAGAGATACTAATTAAAAGGATGAAGGGTTTTATGTTCAGTATATAATTTAAAGTATTGTCAAGTATTTATCAAATAAGAGATATACTATGGTGCAATCTGTTTGGGGGGAAAAAAACCGTAGTGTCCATTATTAGAAAGTGATAGCCATATACAAATGGAAACTGACAGATTTTTACATTAGGTAAAATAATGGAAAGTGCATTCTTTTGTGAGATGAAAAATGTTGTAGTTTTTTAATTGAACTGGAGATAAGGATGTGTTTGAATTCTTTTGAAGTCTTTGGAGACAATCAGGTCTTGTACGAATCATTTCATCCCTTTTCTCCATAAGTGGTTAGAGTTACCAGAGAGTTATTTGATTTTTCTCTTCTTGTTACTGTTTCTATGATGAGAAAGATATCTTTGATCCTCCTTGAAAATAATTTTTTTGATAGACAATTCTTGGTTGATATTTGATTTAATATTTTTGTCCCAAAGCATTCTTTTTATGCAAAAGATTATTTCATTTAGTATTTATTATGCGCAGAGTCTGAAATTATCACAAGTTAAATCCAAAACTACTGACAGAAAAAGATGGTTATGAAATATTAAGTTTCTAGTAACATTTCTCAGTTACTCAGATGTTGTTGGCATCTTACTGATGGGGCAGATAGCTTTGAATAATTAACTTGAGAGACGAAATTGACAAAAATGGATATAAAATAATTTTATTTGATTTATGATAAAGTTGGCAATGATTTGATCAGAAAATTTTGCAGGGATTTTATTTTTTACATGGTTATGATTTAATTTTTTTTTTACGGACAAGTTTTTGCAGTCAAAATGACTGGGGCAGATAGCTTTGAATAATTAACTTGAGAGACAAAATTGACAGAAGAATAGTTATAAAATTGATTTATGATAAAGTTGGCAATGATTTGATCAGAAAATTTTGCTGAAATTTTATTTTGTACATGGTTTTATTTAAATTTGTTTTTTAAGGGACAGGTTTTTGCAGTCTAAGATTACTAAAACATCTGTTGGGGACTCAGTTTTAAAATTTTATGTTCACCCACTAGCACATTGACAAGGAAAGAAATAGTTTTTCTTATTTGTGGAGTCATACAGGGGTGGGTTTCATCTAAGATTTCTTTAACGAATGACTCTATGAGTGAGTCTGAATCTGTATAGTTTTTCCTAGAGTTGGAAGTAGATTTTTGTGTCATTTGTTATTAATTAAATTTTTTTTTCCTGGGGAATTCTCGTTTGCAGAGTTAGTACTCTTAAATTAAAGCCCACAAAATGTTTATTGCCACTGGTATCATGCATTTATAATCAAGCTTGAGCTTGAAATTTTCAACAGCTATTCAGGTAAGAGCACTTTGAGAGTATAAATGTTTAATGTATGTTCTTTTCTAGTAACAGTAGTACCAAGCTTAGAGGTTTGTAGGCTTAATTTATTTGTACATAAGTTATGAGAATAAATGACAAATATTGATGACGTGAAGGCAATGCTGATTTAGAGAAACTGTATCTCTTATTAAATGACTGAATATATTTAAGTCATACACTTGAACTGTGGATAACAAAGTGAACATGAAAGCAGAGAGCAGTAGTGAAAATGAGGCCCGGGATTAACATAATGACCAGCTCCCAATTGGCTTGTAAGCTCAGTTAGTAGAGCAATGCACTGGTATTGCAGAGGTCGTGGGTTCCTATCCCATACAGGCCTGAAATTTTTTTAGGCTTTATTTTCACTACTGCTTAACCCTTTAACTCCCAATTCTCCCTTTTAAGAGCTACACTTTTCCCTGTTAATTTACTGGGAGAATTTAGCATTTGATCAAGATAACAACATCCACCTGATAAGTTTGAGTATTCTCATTATCTATTTGCTGGGTAATTTCTGGATATTATTATTAGGGAGAAACTACATGTTAATCATGCCTGGGGGCTAAATGGTTAAGAAATTTTCATTACTGTGAAGATTGCCTTCATATTCACTGTGTTACTTATCATTCCTAACATTACAGAAACAGGGGTAGGTGGGAAGAATTCAAACATGGGTAAAGGTGTAAGGTTAAGTCTGTGCTCATGCCAAGTGGCTCATCTCTCCAGAGCTTTTTCCTGGTGTTTTTAGCATGAAGCAACTTGGAAATATCCCTACTCCCCCCTTGATATGACACTTGTCCATTGCAAGGCTACCCCCTGTCACATCATTAGGCTTCCCTGATAATTCTACTTTACCCATCGATCCATCCATATTCCCGTGTGGAAAGAGGCACTGTGAAACTAAACCGTTTTGCCCAAGAACACTACACTAATCAGGACAGTACAAATATTTTTCAATAATTGCTGGATTTTCAGAAACAGTAATTATTTTTTTACAAATTTAAGGTTCCCCTGATGGAGTTCTTCATTATCAATAAAAAAAAAATCAGCAAGGGTCTAATTTTCCAAAATGAGCAAAGGACTTCTTGTACAAGGGTAAAGCTGTACTACAGAAACAACAATACATACTACAAACAACAAATCCAAACTTTTTTAATTATTATTTTGGTTAATTAAAATCACTTTATGTCAAACACCTAATGAAACTACACATCAATCAATACCAATTGTTTTGAAACACTACCAGACCAAGGTATAAATGTTGATGTTACATTTCTCAAATGTGAGATAGAAAAAAAAATTACATACACCTACATGTTCCATTACAACACTTTGGCAAATAAAATATGTAAACATACTAGAACTACTTCAATCAAATTTGAAAAGGTATTCCTTAATTCAACAGTGATATCACTTAATCACTTTCCATAATTAACCTGTAAAAACCACTCCTATTTGGTGTTTGATCACCAACTTCCAAGTTTGGAGCTGTTATCCAGAATCTATAAATAACACACTGCTGTAATTTTACAAGAATATCAAGTATGAATTATGAATGCATATCATTATTACTACCTGCTATCACTACCTATTTCTGCATCATAATTCTTTGAATCATAACCTTCTCTGAACATACTTACTTACAATAATTATTACAGTGAACAAGTTAACTCAAAATTTTTTGTCAATATTTAATAGGATGCCAGGAACTCATCAGCTAATTCCTGTCAATATGAACAATTATAGTTGATTAAAAATTTCAGATTCTTTTATCTATGAAAAGTACAGTTTGCTTACCTTGAGCCATTTTGCACAAGGATTTGTGAAAGGGTGCGAATGTAAAATTAACTTTTGTCTCAAAATTCACAGAGCATTTGGGTATACCCCATCCCTCACCGCTAGACACAACAAGGCTAGCATTCGACATATCCCTGACATTTCAACACCTAAAAGACAAAGGCTTTCCTGTCAGAAATCTTGGGTGCCAAGCTCTTCTTAGACTTCATATGAAGACAATACACATCAAGTAACCCAAAACTTTAGCTCACTTGTTTATGGTACCTGTGCTTTGCAAGAGCACAGCCTCAAATACCAAATAACGTCCCCACCTTGAACATGAATAGGTAGAGTCCAGTCCAAGTGTCTGGCAAGGTACAGTACAACTGCACACTCTTGATAACAGGTTGGCATTAAACCCTGTAATTAGTGCTGGAAACTTAAGTATTGCCACAAAATTGGTCAGCAGCTTTCCATGGTGAATTTTCAGTGCAGAAGACTTTAGCCCCAAGGAAAGGGCGAGGGAACAAAATCAATATTTACAGCATCTTGTGCAAAGGAGATTTCTTCACTGAGAGTCTGTAGAAGATTTATCCATCTTTTCGTCTAGAGTTCTGAGATAGTCACGAAGTTTCTGAACTTCCTCTCGTAACTGTCTGTTCTCGTCTTCCAGCGAAGCAGCTCTTTCCGCAACACATAACTCTTTCTGTCTCTTGAGATCTCGAGATCTTTTGGCAGCTTGATTGTTCTTCCTCCTTCTCTCCCAGTATTTTTCATCTTTAACATCGTCGTTCACTGTCTGTCGCGAGATCTTTCGCGGCTGTTTTCCCTCATCATTGCCAGCTGTTGTATTCCCCTGTTTCTCTTTGGTATCTTCTGCTTTCCTTCTCCTTCTTCGCGGTGCACTTGTTTTCTGTGCGTCGTCATTTTTCACTGTTGATTTGCGCTTTCTCTTCTTGGGAGAGGCTCTCTCGGTCTCATTTGAATTAAGGGACTCACTCGAGCTTAAAGAGGCAGGATTTTCAGAGCTAACACTCTCACCTCGTCCCTCGTCCGTATCGCTGGTACTACCTCCGAAGCAATCTGGAGATAGCTGAGGAATATTCGAAGGTGGAAAGGTGTAAAACGGAGGGACATCTTCATCGTCCACGAGATTAGCGATGTCTTGATCGATTTCATCTTCCGAGTAATCACTCTCAGTTCGAGAAAGGCCAGTGCAAAGATCTTTGACGGCCAAAAACTCATCCAAGTCCATGTAATCTTTAAGAAAGTTGGCGGTCATTGTGATCAACCTGACGAAGAAATAAACGTACTCTTTTTCAAATTGTCCAAAACAACATTAAGCTCAGATGTTCTGTCTAATTTCTTACTGGCGACTCCGGTGTTAAAACTTGCGTTAAATGATAACTAGCGTTAAAATTTTGGAGACGTTAAGGTACACTTGCCTAAATTTTGCAGAATTGGTGCAAAACAAAGCTCTTCATTCGTATCACACCAGGTTCGCCGCTAAAGTTTTCGTCGTCGTCTTCCTTCCCTCACTTTTTCACTCGTACTGCTATTTTTCAGAATATGTCTAACTTATTTCACGTGCCGACGGTAGAACCGATCGAGACTACCTCATCCAGGAGAAACTCAGACAGGACACTATTGGATGGAAACTTGGAACAATCAGCTTGCTTCACGTGCGGAATATATTTCCTACTGGAGAAGTCACTTGGAGATGTTGGATAAAGGTGATTGGGTCACGTTTTGGGAACACAGCCCGTGTAACGTGCGTATGTGTTGGGGCGCTACACGCGACTGTCAGTGCTGAAGGAAGCGAGAAAAAGTAAAGAGTTTCGAAAAGGTGTTCAGTTAGCTGCAAACTGTCTTTTTATTTTCCTTCCTTGATTGCTTAGGCATTGGGAAAATTATATTTCTCATAATAATGCCTAAACCTTTTTATTTGCTTTGCAAAACCCACTAGTTATTCAGACAGCTGTGCTGAGTCTGCTTTCCGATATTGAGCCACATTAAAATCCAGACAGACAGTGACCATTTTTGTGTGAGAAAATTATGCACCTGCGCCTAGAAAACGAACACTTCGATTATCTGTGTAGCGCGCCGAACACATTGGAACCTCTTCACGCTTCCAAAAGTCGCAGGGTAATGAGACACGCTTCCTTGCTCGCGTGCATGAGCCGCGTGAGTTGTGAAGGTAACATACGACTACGCACGTGTAGGATAAAAACTTTCCTCCCTCCCCTCCCTTCCATTAATTTTAGCGAGTACCCGTATGTAGAGTAATCATCGAGTCAGTTTTATCAAAACCGAAAACCAAACTATCAAGTTATCAATTCGGTAGAAATCCAACATCATTCACTGACTTGCACGAGAAATAAAATTAGAGAAATTTAATTCTTTTAGAGGTTGTTATTCAGATATAACATTTATTGCTCTCCCAGGGTTAGATCTAGCAAATCCTGTGTAGTAAACCTTCATCGCTAAAATTAGGACAAGCCTATTATAGGCCATGTTTTTGACAAGGTCATGTTGTGACTTGAGTTGTTTGTTTACAACTTGGAGAACAATGTCAACGTGTAAAAGTGGAACAAACCACGTTTCACACGTGTCACATCTGCAATCATGCGTAAAATGCTACCCCACTCCCCATCCGGAGAGATCTCACTCTCAATATGACTGTTAATGGACACATCTGATAGCGAACATGACATCTCTTCCTCTCCGAAGTCTGAAAGCAAATTTGGACATTCTTATGAGGATGAAAGATTTGCAAGAGCAGAAGAAGCTAAAGTAGCTGATCCTAAAGACTCTCCTATTGTTTGGGGTAGACAAGAAAGTATATTTCTTGCTGAATCTTCGACTTCTTCGGAAGACATTCAAACTATATACACTGAAAGGTGTGAAACGGCTCCACTTACAACCGCAAGTGAATCAGCAAATACGATAACAGAAGAACCAGATTTTTCTGATGAGTTTGAATTAGTTGCCGATTTTAGCGAGGGAGACTTTACAGTAGAGGTAAGATTATCTGAATTAGTTAGAATTAAGTTTAAGCCTCTCAGTAAAGTTTTGTTTACTTGAAGAAAATCAGATTGAATAAAAAACATTACCATAACGTTTGAATTTTTGTACACATAACTTCCAGAATGAAGGCAATAGTGGATCATTAGAGGACGAAGCGCGAACCAATTTCTTAAGCAAGAAGTTTAAAATTCTCACCTCATCCCAGACAAGCACCAAGACACAAACTGACACGGAGGGAAGAAGTGACGAAAAAGTTGCTGGTATGAATATTTCGATCTTTCAAAGGCGCCTAACTCTAACCCAAATAAGCCAAAAATTTGATGTGACAGCTGTATTTTACAATCACAATCACTGAGAAGTTTGTGGCGCCACTTCCGTGTAATCCCATTCTTCATTATGCCCAGTCAGTTGTTTAGTAAAATAAATTCGTTCAGGTGGCTAGTTAACGGCTGACTATGTTCTCGGCAGAGAGATTGTGTGAAAATTTATTATTTGGCCGAGAAGAGAAGCTTTAAGGGTTATCGTGAAACTTTCTGGAACTATAGTCATTACAGAGTTTGATTTCTATATTGTGTGGGAGACGTAATCAATTTGGTTAAAAGTGGTGTATGGAGGGTGATGAGGAAGGCAGAGCATCTTTTGACAAAACTAAGATGAGTATATCTCCCTGCTGCTGTCTGAACTATTGCAGGACTAAGAGATTTGATTTCTGTTTTTAACCTCTCAGCCCAAAACTGTCAGGAAATCAACTTCTGTGCAAGGAAATTGGAATTGGTGGAAACAAATGGAAAGAAAACTGGAATAGGACACTGTGAGTACAATCTGTCTTCAAAAAAAGTGTTACAAAATTAAGTTGTGTAGTTAAAACTAAAAATATTTAGGTGGCCAAGTTGAAACGTGATTAGCAAGAACTGTTCAACTATGAGCAGCAGGAGAGAGAAAACTGTGCATCAAGAGTCTAATTCCTGAACATTTTTTTGCTATGTTTGCACAATTAAACTAATTGTGATATTTCTGTAGTACATCAGTGTCAGTGTCTGTATCACCTTGGTATCAGTGAAAGAATTGGATATTTAACTTGCCACTTTGCAGTGTGGTAAATATCCACCACTATTTACTGACACTGAGATGAATAGTTGTGAACTATACTACTGACAAGTGTGAACCCTGGGTTAGGGTGCAGTACTCTGTTGAAAAGGTTACAGTTTGAGCCTGAAGAAGACTTTTTATTTATTTATTTAAGGATTTGTACAAAGCAGTAACTGAGCAAAAACAATAGGAAATAAGTCCCCTACTAGGTTTAAGTTCCAACCCAACCCCCTTTTATTGGAAAATTAACTTTGTGTAGACTTGAGTGCTTTCCTGGTATCTTTGAATTATAGGGTCTGGGTAAACTGGGCTAATAATAAAGAGTTCCATCAAGTTGATTTTGGTGATGGTAAATTGTCACAAGCACAACTCTTTTTTGTAATCAGCTGACCAGAGAGTGATGGCAAAGGCAAAAGGGATGTCACATGGACAGGATAAACCCATTGAGGGTAACAGAAGAAAGATTGAAAATTTAATGATTGAGAACTTGATGAACAAGGCAAAAAAGGTTAGTGTAATGGTGGTGTTTAAGTGAATTTTTCATCATTATAAAATCTTCTAGAGGAAATATACACCCTCTGAAACCAAAACATTGTCCATGTTTATGAGATGACCTATTTCACTCCCAGAAGTGGTTATCAATACCAGTGAGAATACAGAAAATTATGAATTAGCCAGCAGTTGTTGTCTTGGTGTTAAGACTAAATTCAGGATAAATTTGAATTCATCTTGCCGTGATTTGTAAAAAAAATAACGAAGGAACCCATCAGGAATGAATGCCTCCCTTCCTTTACTTGATTTCTAATGAGCATTAAGTCTTAAAATGGGCCCTTAATTGAGAATGTTGGGTAAACGTTCAACTAGATTTCTGATATTTAATGTTTTGCTTACAGCTTAAAGAATGGGACTTCCACAATCCTAAACACTGCACTGACTGCAGGTAATCCTACTTTTTGCATATAAGGGTTGACAAGCTCCCTGTTCATTTTTCCAGAACTAGTTCATTTCTATGACGAGGGAATAACTTCTCTCTTCTCTGAATTTTCTATTAAGGAAAATGAAGGCTAGTGTTGCAAGCAAGACTTTTTTGAAACGAAAGGTGGAGGTAGCAAAGAGAGCTGAGTTTGAAGAGAGACTTCAGTTACATTTGTATCACAAGGCAAGTTTAATGTAGGGATGTACTCTTTCAAAATGATCAAATTCTAAGACATTCCATGACCCTTGAGCAGGTTCAACATATCCATGTGTCTGTTCTAACCCTTTTACTCCCAAGATCTTATTCAATTCTCCTTATTCTCTACCATACAATTCTTATGTTGTTAGTTCAGAGAATTTGGTATTGGATCAACTAATAATCCTCTAATTGATATTTCTGCTTGCCATAGTAATGGGATTGTGGGATACATTACTGTTTAAACACTCTTGGAAGTCAACGGTTTAAAACACAAGTTTGAAAGTGGAGATGTACATGGCATATTCAGGGTTCACTAATGAGAGCAATTTTGTTTTTGTGTTATAGGATTCTGCTACCCTCCTTGCTGAAATAGTGAATTCTTGTACAAAGCCATCTGAATCCCCAGCTGAAGTTTGGGAAAAACTACTTTGCACAGAAAGAAAAATATGATAACTGGTGTAATACCAATATTAGTTACCAAGCTCTTGGCAAGTGGAGACGAGTAAAAAAATGTGGGAGTAAAAATCTGAAGGATTCTATGTACTGTAATGTTGCTTATTCCCAGAAAGAAATGCCTGGAGTATAAGTACTGCCATCTGTGCTAAGTTAATGCATTTCATTGATGCCAAATGAAGAACAGTTTTATGAATTATGGTACATCAACCCAATTATTGTATCGGACAGATCATTAATGAACCATTATGTGAGTGACATCTGCAGGGTTGAGTGCTGTTGCCCTCATTACACTCCTTACTTTTATCCTGTTATCCTCTGGCACAACCCACAATTTAGTCACTTCCTAGTAACAAAGAGCTTCAATTGGCTTTATATTGACATCAACAAAACGCCTCTGCATGTCATAGGTACTCAATGACAGACATTTTTTTTAAACATGAGAATTTCCTGAGTGACTGCATGGATACATGATTAGTTTACTATTTTCCTTGCTAAGTTATTGAAAAAATAAACAAAGGTTAGTGCTTATTTAAACTTATTTATTTTAACTCTGTCAGTAAAACATGTTATTAATAAAAAGAATCTTTACATGATAAATTTATTTCATTTGACTGATTCTCTGACTGAATTTAGTGAGTACCAGAACTGTTGCTGGATAAAAAGGGCCAATGAGCTTCACTTCCCCCTTTAATTCACCAATTAAAACAGGTGAAATAAAACCTGCCCCCTCTCCCCCTCACCAATGAGATACAATTGATAATTAGGGGCTATTTACACTAAAACACTAGACAAATTATATAGTTAAATATTGCACAAAAAAATACATTGTCTTTAAACAAAATGTCTTTTCACTCTTTTATTTATATACCTGTACTGAAATTTACAGAGTTGACATGGCTACTAAATTTGTATTTCTCTACCACACACTCAAAAATAATGATAATGATGAAATTAAATTAATTTCTTTGTTATACAAAAGAAATCTTCACATTTATCAGCACTAGTGCTATACCAACAACTTAATGTCACTGATGACTGCAAGTACAGTAGTATACCCTCCTAAATACTTGTTATCAGAGAGGTTGCTGCCATCCTCCCAACAATAATTTCCCTGCTTGACTTGCTGAGAGCAACATTCCTTGCTACCTTTAAGAGCAATCCAACTTCAAATTGAATCAGGGGGAGGAAAATTATTGTGCCAGCAGGTGTTTATAAGGATGAAGGCAACAAAATCCCAAAATTTAACTACAGGCTTAAAAACCTTTTGCAACAAGGCCTTCACCTGTTTATCAAATAACCATTTACTTCCTACTAAAAAAATTCTAGAAAAGAAACAAATTGGTAACCAAGTCACTGTAAACTGTTTGAACATGCAGCTTTGTGTTAACTACTCTTTCCCTATCTTTATCTTTCATTACATACATATCTATATCAATTTCAGTTGTTTGTTTTAACACAGTAAATAGCAGAGTTGTCTCATGATGGCAAGATTAAATGGAAGGTTTAACAGTGTATTAAATATTTCACTTACATCACATAACCCTTGAAAGGTATTTTACCTTAACTGTCACGCATTGTCAATACTGTTTGCTCTTTCATGAACCATTAAGCTGCGTAATTTTCTTTTTAATGCAACAAGAACTCTTTATAATATCTTTTAACACCTGAACTTTATACCACTATGTTTTACTGATAAAACTAATTGTAATTTAGCAGAAATTAGTGGGTTGTGTGGAATGGAGATCAGAAAGAGGAGTGGTTTTGTACCATGTTACACAAATAATAAAATCATTGTGGCTTTAAGAGAATTAGCCTTTTTTACCTAGTTCCTATTTAAGAACTTTGGAAACCTAGGTGCTTATCCATCATTGAAATCAATATTCATTTAAGAAAATAATAGCCACCTCTAATTTTCAAGGAAAAATACGGCCTTTTGCTGATGAAATTTCATGTTATTGGGCTCAATAAACAAAGCTACTTTTGTCATTGCTGTGACAAAAAAAAAAAAAAAAAGTATGGAAAACAAGGAAAAAAAGGGAATTGAGAACCATTTTGCAACATATCAACTAAAAATATACTTTCCTTTTACCCTTTAACGCTAAGAGTTACTAGCATCCAATTTCTCAGCACAATGTTAACTCAAATCACACATTAGGGTTATGAAACTAAAGGGGATGACCACTAATTTAAAGACACTCTTGATTGTTAAACAAATTCTTCTGGTCAGAACTTCAAGAGATGTAAAGAGAACAGTATGGAGAATATGCATACTGATGTCCGGGTTAAAGTCTCTGACTCTATCACTTGCAAGAGGTAAAACATGTCAAGTACTTGATCCATATTTGAAATTGCTTTGAATTCACTCTCAATATTTCTTTAATCAACCTCACTCTGGTAGGGTACTTTCCTTTCTAACTGAGGATGAAACTGAAAGAAAATTATTGAATAAAGGTTGTTGATTACTCACACCACAATTCATGCAAAAAGCAGTCAAAGTAAGAGTAAGTTATTTTTGAGGTGCTAACTCCTAACCCAAACTATTGTACCATACAGTAAACAGGACGTTCTTTGTTGTAACTATCCAAAATTCTGTTCTCACTTTTGGCATGCTAACACACTTCTTACCATTTTCTTAGTAACCCATTAAGTTAAAAACCCACATATATGGATCAATTGATTACCTCAGTTATGATTTTCCACTTAGATTCCACAGAACTTGTACCTAGTTATTTGAAGACATGCATTTCACTTTTTGCACTCACAAACAAAGTGTAAGAGGAAATTGGGTACTAAATAAAATATGTATGAAACTAAAATTCAGAAATATTACCTTTTCTGAAGTCTTTGATTTCCACTTTTAGTGGGCTGGTGGCTTTTTTCACATTGAAAGAACTCCATGCAGAGACTGAGGTTTTATCCACTTGTATTCCTGAAGCATGCAGTGACCTGGTTACACCACAAACTGGTGATTCTTTAGAGTGGCTTTCCTCAGACTCACTTAAAGGATCTGGTGATTTTTCATCATCTGTGTTCTTGTCCAAATCAACCAGATTTTCAATAACCTCTGGCAGTTTTGCCAGGGGCACATCTGGATTTTGCTCTAAGCCTGGTATTTGTAGCATCTCCTGGGTCAAAACTGTTGAAGAATGTGATGATTCTTCTTTAAATATATCATCAGGAATCTTGGGAGAACTTTGAGCAGTTCTTACCAAGTCATCCACTTGATTATTGATTTCAGTAGTTCCCAAATTTAAGGCAGTAGTGGCATGACTTGGCTCTACAGACACTGTTGTAGATGCCACAACGGGTGTTGACACAACAGGCGTGGACAGAAGAGTGGCTGTACAGGTGGAGCTTGAAATGGGTGGGCTTGACGCAAGTGGACTTGATGCTGCAATTTGTTTTGGAACTAGATTGAATGGATCTAAACATGTTTTAATCAGAGGTACATTAGCACCACTATTGGTACTATTGGTACTTGTACTTGGAGAAGATGGCAAGGAATTTTGAGTTAATGATGAGAGGCTTGTGTTCAGAGGAGAAGAACTAGAAATAGGAATTATTGGTATAACAGAGATCTGTGGGTGTTTTGTTGAGGATGAAAAAGTTTGTTTTGAAGATGTCAGGTGAACTTGGCTGCCCTGAAATTTTGGTGTGCCTGTAGCCATGGATACTGTTGGCAAGTCAGTTGTTGACGAGCAAGTGTCAGGTTGCCTAGGAACTACTTTCATTACAACATTTTTTAGACCACTTAAGATTCCAGCTACAGGAGTTAAAGTCAGACTTGCTGGGCTTGTAACTGTTCCTGCTTGAGGGACCTTGTTGGCTTGTAATTGGTTAAGAGAAGCTAGTGCTCTCAGTGCAATGTCAGAAGTTGGTGTGTTGCTGGTTGAAGTTAACACACCATACTGTTTTCCATCAATGATAACTTGTGCTGTTGGTAAAGGTTTTACAGGAATCTGTGAGACTAAGACTGTATTTTCATCATTTTTTTGCGCTACGGGTGATGTTGAAATCCCAGGTGCTTGAGGTATTTTAGCAGCCCCTACTGTAACAAAATTTGACACCGTTAAGCTGGGTGTTGCTGAACCTTGCTGACTTGTTGTCAATGTGGTTCCCAAAGAAGTGTTTAAAATTGCACCCTCTGCATTTTCAGGTATCAGAGGAAGCTTGGAAACTAAGAGTGCACTCTTGACATGTTTTTGCACAGCAGGTGTCTGGATTCTAGAGACTTCAGGTATTTTAGTAGTCCCTCCTGTGACAAAATTTGGCATCTTTACACTGGGGGTTGCTGAAACTTGCTGACTTGTTGTCAATGTGGATGCCAAAGAAGTGTTCAAACTGACTTCATCTGCTTTTTTTGAAGTATTATTTGTACCAGTAATGGTGATATGCATAACATTCTTACTTTCTAGGTTCTTCATGAATGGGCCATCACTCCTAATGATTCGAATTCCAGAAGAACTGCTGGGATTCTGTTGGGTACTCAACCGTGAGAGATTGCAAATAATTTTATCGCTGGATGGCTGCCTCACCTGTCCAAGAGTTTCCATGATCACTTTCTGCTGAGTTGGATGTAACTGAAGAATAGGAATACCTGGCTTAGGCAAAATTTTCACCAAATTTGCCTTTTGTTCCTCTTGACTGGTTGATTCCAGGGATGGCTTGCTTTTTGCTGTGCTGCTGTCTGTCAAGAAAATATGTGGCAGGTGGGTGAATAATTTTGATTGATCTTGACCCACTTTCTGACTTTGACTTTCGCATGATGCATTTGAATTGACTGAAGGTGATGTCTCTGTGGAGGATGCCACTAAACCTAAAATATCTTTTGATGTTTCCAAAGCACCCTCTATGGTAGTTTTCTTTGGAGGAACTCTTAAGCTTTGTGGTTCTTCTCTGTTTTTCAGTGCTGGTTTGTTACTGATATTGGAAATCCATGCCACAGGAGACAGCAAAGTCTTCTTTGCCCGTGGACGACCCTTGACACAAGGTTCCATTGCACCTTTAGATTCGTTACTTGCTATCACAGCAACATCTTGTTTCCTGCTCAAATTTTCTTCTGATTTTGAGACATCTTCTTCCTCTACAGTAATGTTGAGGTGCTTTAATATGGCATCAACCTTTGCAGGATCAACATTAATAGAAATTTTTCCAAACATTAGTAAATTTCTTTTCTCCTGAAGTTCTTTGTTAGCTTTTATAAGCTCATTTTTTGTGTTAATTAAATCTCTTGACTCTTTTGCTAATTCTTCCACTGTACTGATTCCTTTGCTGAGAATAGCTTGTTTGCTAAAATACAAGTCTACATCAACAAGGTCAGTAAACACCTCCACCTTCATGTCATTGAACAGATCACCCAGGTGGTGACGCCGCTTTCTTTCTGTGGCACTCCTTGTTGCTTTAACAGTGTTTGGATCACGACCATTTTTCTGTGACATATGGGAGTGTAAGTCTTCAGAATCATCAGGTTTAATTATCTTGATCACCTCCCCTTCCTGCATTTTGGCACATTGCAAGAAAATGTCAATCTCATTTGGCCATGCTTGAAT